TTTTTTTTAAATTATCAAATCAACTTTTTTTATTAACACTCATATTTATCATATAAATAGGCCTGTCGCGATAAATCAATTAATTGCATGATAAATAAAAATGATCAACCTCATTTTCATTTATCAGCTTTATCGTTTCTTCATGTCTCTCTTTCTACTGAAGACACTGGATGACAAAAAGCTCAACTCCGGTGCTCTTCACTGACCCCTCCCTTTCTCTTTTCTCTTTAAAATCCATTTTAACCATCAAAAATCGTGTTTTTGGATCGTTAAAAGCAGCTAAACTAAGAAGCTAAGCTAACAAGCCGACCACGAGAAAAAAACTGTCTTGTCAAAGCTCCAAAATTCACGGTTGAAACCTGTACCTTCATCTAGAAAGTTGTTTTTCTCTGCTAAAAGAATCTGAGAACTTGTTTACTGATTTTTTTATTAAAAGCTTTGTGTGACAAATGCTATGCTAAAGAGCTCAAATCACACAGAGAGTCTGCCATTTTGAGAACCGAAAAACAGGAAGGAGAGACAGCCCATGTCACGTCAAGGGGCCTCCTTCCCATTGTTCTTAAAGAGATGCTGCTCGTTCCCTCTCTATCCATCCTTCGGTTCAAGCAGTCTTATACCGCCATGGTCGAAAAAACGTACTACATGTAAAATGAATTAAACATTTCTTAAATTTGACAATAATTACTAATTATTGTCAAATTTCAAACAATATTATCGTTTATCGCAATAATTTCTGAGACAATTAATCGCCCAGCAAAATTTGTTATCTTGACAGGCCTACATATAAATAGATTTTATACATTTATACAATTTTAGTCACAACCTGCTAAAGTTGTCATTGAAATTCAGCTTAGTCTGTTCAGTTTAGCTCAGCTTGTGTCAGGAAGGGCAGCTGGTGTAAAACAAGTGCAACGTGTGCGTGTGAGTTCACGTGGTGTAGTTTTAAAATACTCCAGTTCAACGGGCAATAGTCTTTTATTTGTTTTTTTCGCATGCTGTAGCAAAAAGTTTGCAAGTCTCTCCCCCCCCCCCCCCCCCCCGACCAATAAAAGTGTCATAAAAATTGTAAGTTTGGATGTTCTCGTAAAGTTTACTCCAAATTACGATGGAAATTTTTCATTTCTAACAAATGATTCTCAGATTTGTGACTTTTTGTTTCTTCCTCTTGGCAGGAAATGAGCAACAAACCACCTGCTTCAGGGAACGTGACGGATGAAGTAACTAGCGCACAGCTGATAAATCACGTTGGCTCAGAGGTGATTAAAGGTGCTGGGAGAGAAGAAAAGGACTCCACTCTGTGTGAAGCTCACAGCAGCATCAAAGCCAGTGAAGAGCAGGAGGTTTCAGAAGCTCCAGATGAACAAAGCCTCCTGACAAAGCTGCGGAGGATGGTCAGTCCACCTTTGAGCCAATCTCTTGCTCTGGACAACCTGGTCTCCATCGATGGAGTCCACCAGAGACCATATAAAAACCACACGGAGGACGGGCGGGACCTTTCTCCGGACAGGGACGACTCTGCCTACGAGGACGCCTCAGCTGAGACTCCGGAGCAGGAGATGCTTCCAGGTGACGGAGACCTGCCTCTCGATTCAGAGAACAAAGAGAACGGTTCGGCCCCCGGCGAGACCCAGGAGCTCAGAAACCCTGAAGTGTGCGTTTTGTCCTAATTCTAACAGGCTGATGACGTTCGTTAGCAATTTGGTACAGTTCAAGAGTTCTTTGAGTTTATTTTTATCTCCCGTTGAAGCAGAAACGTTAATCGTTTCAGTCACTTTAAGGTAAATGGCCAAACATTTGTTACTGGTAGTTTCAGCTTCTTGCGTGTGTTTGCTTTTTTTTGTTTTTGTTTTGTGAATCCAATAATGTCTATTTTTAGATCTGCACTGAAAACATTTTAAGGACAGCTTTTTGAACGTTATGATCTTTTTAAAATTATCATTATTGACATTTTATAACAAAAAAAATTTGTAGTAATTCCCAACAAAGAAGCTCAGGTTTGATTAAAAAAAAAATTTTTTTGGTTTGTTTGGTTCTAAACATTCAATTTTTATTTTTTTATTGTTATTTTGCCCTCACGTTTTTAACACAAGGGTAGTGAGGGAAAATACTCCAATTGTGTCTTGATGCAAATCAAAATGTGTTCAAAATATATTGAGTTTCATAAGAATTCAGAAAGGGACGGTTGCTGTTTTGTGCCCACGTTATGGTTTCACTTCAAAATATACCTGAAGCAGGTTTATGTCCTATCTGACTCCTCGTTTAGCTGTTGGTCATGTAAAATACAGTAGTCCCTCGCTACTTCGCAGTTCATTTATCACAGATTCGCTCTATCGCGGATTTTCAAAACAAAATTGGACATGAGACACAATTGGCTGATTGGTGGATTAGCCGCACGATCGGCATGGAATTTTTATTTAAAATAAATTATTTAAAATTATTTAGCACCTGCGCCTCTGTGCAGCCCGCGCTGCAGGATAAACTTCCTGCTGCAGCTGATCTGCGTGCAGAGCTGAGAAGTGGGCGTGGCCAAGAACGCTTGCAGGCGGCTGAGAGCAGCCGAAGAGAGGGAAATCATGACGTTCTGTGCTCTTTTAGAGCGTTTAGAGTTTAGAAACATTGTTTAGAATATTGCAACAATGTGGAAAGGGTTTAAAACGCCTTTATATATATATATATATATATATATATATAATTTATTGTAGTATATGTATATACTACAATAAATTACTGCTTACTACTTGTACTACTATTCCTACTTTGCGATTTTTCACTTATCGCGGGTCTTCAGGGTATAGATCCCCCGTGATGAATAAGGGACTACTGTACAGATTATCTAACAGGGATTCATCCGTTTCCCACATTCTGAAATATTCTTCTACGATTCACCTCACTTGTTTTGCTCGGACGTTTTGTGGAATTTTGATTGTTTTTGCACTTTTTAAAGGTCTTATATCAGATTACAGAAGCAACACTCCTTTTTCAACCAGTTGCATCAGTGAGAAATACTCAGCTGATGTGTTGAACTGTCTGCTTGCACAGCAGTGCTGTGCGTTTGCGCATTTTTTACTTCATGTGGAACTTGCGGACGTTAGCCACTTTGGGTGTCTGATTGCTGTAAACATTTAATACTTTGTTGTTTTTTCCTTCTGTGCTAAAAGCAGCTGGAAAATATTCACCTCGTTTGTGTTTGTTTGCATGATGACATACACAGCCACGTTTTATAAACTTTAAAAAGGTTGATTTGCGTCATAAGATATATTTGTAATTTTGCACGTACTTTCACACTTATATTTAATCCACTGTATGCCATTTATTGCCACCAGATGCATTTTAAAGGGGAATTCAAGTTTCATTTTTGTTCTTTTCATAAGCACGTCAAGCATCTAAACTGCTTCTATGAGAAATGTTTTAACACATTTATGGAAACTTGAATATCTGCAGAACATCATCAGTGTTGATGGTTCGAAGCAGCATGAAAAAGTTTTGCCTTTATCGCACATTTCTGTTTCGCCTAATGCTGGTTCTCCTGTTCCCATACTTGACTGTTTATTGCGTTCGCTGCCAAGATACAACAAATGTCACTAACACCTCTAATGCCTCGATGTTTGTCCTCTACACAAGAGCTGAAGTGCTGTCTGATGGAGCTCTTGTTGGTTCAGGAACAATCCTTTTACGTCACAAGTCAAATGTTTTGTTGTTGGATGGTGATCAGGTCAAAGGGATTTTGTTTATCCTGTAAAAATCCTTTAAATGTTGCAGAATGGTCAGCACTCGGCTTTTAAAACGTATCTAATCGGGTAATTTTTTTTTGTAAAGTCTTAATGAAAACGTATTTTTAATTCAATGCCTTTTGTGGGTCAAATTATTTCGCTCTTTTCTACGCTTTGATATTTTCACCTGCAGGGGTGGAGGAAGACTTGCATCAAAATAAAGAGTAAAATGTGGATGTTGATTTGTCATTTGTTTTGTGTTTGCTTCTTTTTGCACATGTAGAAGAAATGATAAAACAAGAAATGACCACGAGCAGCTTTCCTGAAGCCAGCTGCAGTGGTGCACGTGGAAGAAACTGAGTTGCACAAGTCGAATGAAAAGCCCAACATGTAGTGAAGTTTGTCCACCGAGTGGCGAAATGGATCTTTATTTAAAGAAAAATCTGAACTTCTTGACACTTTGATGTGTAGAAGTGATTTAAAGTGAACAAAACTAAGAACACATGTCAGTAAGAAACAATTTACAGACTGTTTTAGGTGTATTATAGTTTCTAACAGCCTGTAAATCTTCAGTCAGATAAAGCAATTTGCGCAAAATCAAATAATTAACCTATATGTGCTGTGTCTTGCATAAACAAAAAGCGTGTTCACAAGCTGTAAGGATTCTGCCTGAGACTAAATACGATATCAGAAAATTTTGTACTGAGAATATTGTGGACAAGTTGCAAAGAATAAATTTAAAAAAGGCATCCAGTGAGATTTATCAATAAAAGCTCCGTTTGGACAAAGCTGGGATCAAAACAGGCCTTTCTCCTTCTTCAGCTTCAGTTGTTTCCATTGCGGCAGGCTCACAAAGTCGTCTTTGGAGATCCCGAATACACAGAGGAAGTCCGCGTCACCGAGGTGTTTCTGACAAAAAGGCCACAAGATTGAATGAAAATCACCAGAAAGGGAACAAAATGCCTAAGATCGCATTTTCGTACCTAACACCTAAAGTAATAATGGTTCGTTCAATGTTTACAACAAGATAAGAATCGTGAACACAGGACATAAATGTGTAGGTAGAGATATATTACTTAAAGTTCAGAACATATCTGTTTTATTTTGACCAGATTGACACACTGACTAGTCCAAGAAAGGCCTAAATTAAAGTATATTGCCGCCAACTAAAAACACCAATCCTAAACATTTATAACAATTCACGAGAATGCTCGTTTGTAAATCTTTGCATCTAAGTCAGTTTTATAATAAACAGTGATTTACATCAGATTCTGTGCTTTTTGTTGTTTTGTCAGAATTAAACCATCTTTTTGGCCTAACTGAGGTCTTTAAAGAGATATCTACAACAGGTAAGATATTAATTGTTCATTACAGTTGCAAAGAACCACATTTTAAACTACTTAAACAATCTCAATAAGGACAGAGTCAAACCAATAGATTGTTTTGATGCTGTTTTAGCAGCATGCGGTCACTGATGCAGACTTTTTTCTGCGTGCTCCCGTTTTCTTTTAGAAAGACATGAACATGCACCTCCTTCTCACGGGGATTGACTCCTTCAGGAAGCTCGCTGCTCTGCTTGTTGATCAGTTCATCTGGTGGAAAGGTCTGAAAGATTTTTTCCTTCTCAGCGATGCTCTCCTCCTGGAAAATCATTTAAGGAAACAAAGATACTTGGTTTTCATATCACTAATAATTTAACTGATCACATTAGTGTCACTTAAAGAAACATGTTGAGTTTTGGGCTGTAGAGAAACTGAATTATGAAAAAAAATGGAGGTAAAAAGCTGCTCTAATACAAGGTTTTTTTTCTTGTCCCAGATAATTTCAGTTAAAATAATTGAGCAAACTATCCCACAAAGTACAGTTAATATTTTTTTAATGGATAACAATGTTAAACTTAACAGTTTTTCCTTCCTAACTTTTGTTTTCAGGAATGTTAGGCAGCTATACTTTTGAATTTTGACATGTAGTTTATAAGGTTTGTCAAGAGTTTACAGGAAGAAACACTAACGGTTTAAAAATGTCGTCCTAAGCACAACTATTTGCGTTCTTTGGAAAGCTCAAGAAACAAAACTAAATAAATAAATAAAATCACTGTCATGTCACTTTAATTGGTGATTTGTGATGTATCTGTGCTGCTGATTATCCATGCTGCTGATCTCATGCTGCTGTATTCATTCATATCCATCTGCTCACCACAGACTCATGTTCGGGCTGCTCTTTAATAAACCATATTGTTTTACATTATTAGTGTTTAGCGTATATTTTAGATCTTTAAGCGTACCGTTTGGCGTTCATTTAGTGCATATGTTAGATCCTTTTATACTCTTTCTTTTTATACTTTATATTTTTGCTATTTTTGGGTGTACCTGCGACCCCGAGTACATCATTTCGGTCCACGTCATGCACCACATGTGATGCGAATGACAATAAACTTGAACTTAAAGAAAAAACAACATACAGCTTTAACAATAACAGGCGCCGCATCTTCTGCTAGCTCCTCCTTCAGCTCTGTGTAGCTCTTTCCTCCCTGAAATGAAGAAAAGACTTGAGTTCGTTTGTCGGTTTAACGATTCTCACAGAGCGGTTTGAAAACGCAGAACTCACGCTCCATTTTGACGGATCCCAGGCGGCGAACCAGCCAGTGAACGTGGGCGGCTCGAACCCCTGTTTGATCATGACGATGGGCGTGTCTGGATCTCTGTCTCCTGGGTGGGTGCGCAGGTACTCCTGGCTTGTGATCACCGCTTCTTTGCGCTCCACCTCATTGGCCTCTTTACCGATCCACAGAATCAACTAAGGCAGAAAATTACAGGAAAAATGAAAACTATCGAATCAAGGTGGACACACAATGCAAATGTGATCAGCTCTGGTTGTCAGTCTGTTTCCTTCTACCTGGTCCCATATATCCAGCAGCATGACATCATCCTCGCTGAGGTCATCCTGTGTGAACTGAGTTACCTCACTCACAATGAAGCGACCCGTCTTATTGGAGCATTCAAACAGGCGTGGCTCGTGGTCTGTGACCACCTGCTGCAACCTGCAGTGAAAAAAAAGTAATTTCCACATCACTGCTGATATCTGATAGAGTTCCTTTATTCATAAAACTGAAGGACTGCTGTCATCCACCTGAAAGTTAGGTAATCTTATTATTTTCAGTATTGTTTACCTTTTGTCATTCGCATAAGGAGCTTTGCCTCCAAGCAGTTCCCAGAACTCAACGGGCTCCTGACCCTCCGCCACGATCTCCTCAAAGGTTCTTTGCGAGCCCTGACCGATCACAGCGCTCACCTCTTTCGCCATGGCTCTCTCATCCCCGCTTGAACCCTGATTTAATAATAATAACAAATCAGTTTAGTGATGCAGGAGTTTGAAACCACCTCTCGTTGCTTTATACTTTGCTTCTGAGGAGCCAGGCTTTCCAATAATTTTGTTAAAATCATCTTGATGAGAAGTTCTCCAGGTTTTTTGACGATCTTTCACGGTTTGTATTTGGACGTCGGCTGCCTTTTGTTCACTTTCTGTTTAGTTCTTGCACCTGATCATGACGTATTGTGCAGTGTGTGATTAAAAAGTAAGAACATTGACAGGTGGAGGACAGCAGAAAAACTTTCAGGCCTAAAATAACTACCCTAGTTATGTCACTTGAACAATATCTGAAAGTCACGTCTTCCATCAGAAAACCTGAAGCAGGACCTGTAGGAGTCTTCATCGTCCAACTGATTATTGACTTTATTACAGCTCCAATGTTGTACTTTAATTCATAGGTCTGCGCCTTATAGACTATAAGGTGCACTAAAAACATTTAATTTTCTCAAAAATAGACAATAAGCCTTATGTATATGGTTGTGCTTACTGCCCTCGAACCAATTTCATGTGGTACAACTGAACAATGTTGAGCGTTATTGTGAATGAGTTGAATAAAGTTTGACTTATTTGATTGTTTTGTTTCACTTAATACGCCTTATAATCGGGTGCACCGTGCAGTCCGAAAAATACGGTAATTTTTGCCATAGTTGCTCAGTGTACTTTATTTTAGCTAAACATGACAAAACAAGAGACGGGTCATCATTCTTTTTTCTTTTTTTTTTACCTAATTCACAATAACAAACTATTAATGGTTTATTAAGTGTTTACAACTTAATTAACAACTGCAATATTAACTATTTATTAGTGATTTGATAATGACTAAAGGTAACTTCATTGAACCAAACCTTTCAGCTAATAGTTCTTTGGGAAACATGCTTTTGGTGCTTAAATTCTATTTTTTATGTCAAACAGTGTTATTATTAGTCTTTTGTATAAATTCAGTAAAAAAACAAAAAGTCTTTGTGACGGGGGGGGGGGGGGGGGGGTGTTGTATCACTGCCTAGCAAGTGACCTTCGTAATTAACACAAAGTGTTTTCCCTGTAATTGATCAGGTGATAGACTGAAAATTAGTTTGAAAAAAGTCAAATTCCAAAAGGAAAAAAAAAAACTTTGAAGATATTCAAAAAAGGCAGTAGAAACAAGAATCAAAACTACTATAAAATGTTAAGAGTTTGGCTCATTTAAAGCAAAATATAAAGAACTAATGGATGTTAGTTCATGGAAAATTACATGGAAAACTTGTTTTAGCTCTAGATCATAAATATATGCAGGAAATCACATAACAAAGGGCCCAAAATAGTTTTCGACATTATAATGAACTTCTTGTATTTAAAAACGCACTCTTTTACCTTTCCACACCACAGATAAATTCCTGACTGGCTGTTAAGTAGAAACACATCGTTGGAGTTCAGAGAGGAGGCCAGGGCTGGAACCTCTATGGTTTTTGTATTAAATGAGTCAAAACCCCGAACCTGAAACAATCTTATTGGAGGTGCAGGTTCAGAGGAGCCTTTTCTAGAGGTGCCCCCCTAATAAAAAGAAAGAATTGTGTCAGACATAAATTTGGCTTCTGAAATCAGATTGTTTCATTAAATGACTGAAAATGCAGTCCTAGTCTCACCTCAAAGATGACCATTTTCCCCTTGAAAATGGCCATAAAGTGTCTCGGTTCCTTTCCCATAGTTACTCTCACTTGAACTGGTTCGTCGTTGTACTTTTGATCCAAGCTCACAGCCTGAAACGCAGAGGCAGCCAGCTCATCCTGTGAGGCATGACGCCCCTTTAAGGATAAGAAATAAAGACCATTAATCTGAGAACCACGATGAAATAGCTTTATGTTTCAGCAACAATCAGTGTGCACCCACCTGCCATATGTAAAGTAGATAGCACTTCCTGCTGTTAACCTGGTAGGTGTAAAGGATCAGGTAGCAGTCTCCTCCATAGAAGTATCCGTACGTTTCTGGGTCCACTGGGACAAGCTCTAGATCCTCAATCCTCCACACCTGAGGGCATCAAAAGGAAATTCACTCTGAACTAAGGAATTTCCATTTCCTGTGAAAATGCAGTGTGAATGCTGAGTGCTGAATTTCTGTTGAAATTTGGTGGAAACGCTGTATTATTAATTACTTAAAGCTAAAACTGAAAGCAAAACACTAGAAGAAGCAAAATGTGATCTTAGAGCCAAAAATAGCTAAATGCTAACTTGAAGCTAAAAGTTGGAACATGCTAGCTAAATGCAGCAAAAAAAAAAAAAAAAAAAGTTATCTGGAAAGGAACAAAAAGCTAATTAAATGTTAAAAGTAGATGGACAAAATGTCCCCATTTCCTTTTGTTGTTCAAAATTTAAGCTAAAAGACCTGGTTTATGGGAGCTGCCATGTTCTATTTTTGGAACCAGAGTCTGAGCAATGAGGTTTTAGGTCCCGCCTTCTCCACATACAATCAAGGTGTCACATGACCTTTTTGTTCAAGCATACAATTATTCATAACAGCTAAAGTTTAACATAGTAGAAAAATGAATGTTTGAAGATACAACAGTGAGGTAAGAATGCTGTGTACCAAGAGTCATCACCTGTAAAACTTTGAGGTGTGATAATTAGATTTATTATTATTATTATTATTTTACCTGTGACAATGTTCCATTTGTTTACAAGGAGAAGACTGGACTTAAAACCAGCCTATGCGGATGCCGCTCAGCTCTAGCTTCAACTTACCAAGAATGTTGTCTTTATCGGTCAATGGTAGATGAGAAAATCAGAAATCCGAACAAGCTATTGCCGCTAGGTGGTGATAACTTTAACATTAACAACACGTTAAAATACTAAAGGAAAACTATCTGGAGCGCAGCTAAAGATCCCAAAACAATTATCCATTAAAACTATAATTTCTCAAGCTTTGCATAAACTGCTTCCTCACACAGTGCTTATGATGTCGCTTTGTCCTCCAGCATAGAGCTGTCATTTCTAACACGAACACGGAGCCCGGCCCCGCTCGACCCAGATTAGGGTCGGTCTTTAATAATGTGCTTAATGTCCGGGCCGGGTTGGTGTTGGGCTTTTGATTGTGTCAGCTGACACGCGTGGTTGATGATCCAATTATTTGGCAACATGGCTTGCTATACCATCACCAGCCGCACGCAGCCATTTGACTACGCGCTGACCGGCCGGTTCAAAGAGGTAAAAAGTTCAGTGACGCTTCAGATGGCCTACTGCCAGCGATCCATCAGCCCAAATGGACGTTCATTCAGCCGCTGCACTCAGCGGACGCTCGCGGCTGATGACCCAAACATGTGAGATTACAAAATATCCAACATGTCAGAGCAGGGTCCATGTCTGGATAATGCAGAATGCAGGCAAAAGAAGGGGAAGCATTTAATACGCTTTGATGGCCATAAAAGGACAAACACCCTCTCATCTCCGATCTTCTAGTATTGGTATAGTATAGTATCTAGTATTGGAACGACAATCTCTTGTACAAAAATAATCCCTTGTGTTACATATTTTATCAAATTCCATGAAAGCTCTGATTGTAAAAAAAACTTGAAACCTCATAGTTTGCTCCTCGTGGCAGAATTCTGTGAAAAAAGAATCCACTGACTGCACAACAGTACCAGCGCTCTTATAGAAGTGCATTGTTGACAGCTGATGTACCTCCACTTGACCCGTCCCGTTGTCCACCATCCTCTCCTGAGCAGAAACCTCTGGCATCGTGTGCATCAGTGAGGCGTCAAATTTCTCTTGTGTGACATGAGCTTAAACAAACGTCAAAACAAAAATCATAAGCCGCTGATTGTTACCATAACAAAAGAAAAAGTTGAGTTTGTCTATTTTTTCCACAACATAAAACATATTTTTGCCACGCGTTAATCCCCACTAACCAATTTTCCCCCTGGTGTTTGTTTTTCCAAGGCCTTGACTCTGATCTTTTACAGTCCACTTCTGGAAAAGCTGCCGGAAGACAGCCGACTCCGCCCCATCATTCACTGACTCCACATTGGTGGTCATCGGGTAGTTCTTTGATTTGATGAAGTCCTGTAATGACACAAACATTGACAACACTGGAACTAAAATGCCAGATAAGTCAAGCCAAAGGTTTTGTGTGACTCACCAAAGCTCTGGACATGGCCGCCTGTCTTTCAGCTTTGTTTGCTTTCTTTCCCTTCCATGCGAAAAGCTTCAGCCCACCTTGGTCCACAATGTAGCAGTCCTAAAGTGATAATTATGTCATAGAGTATAACTCTAATGTGTGTCTAAATAAAATAGTTCTTGAATTTGCTTGAGTCACAACAAGAGACTTAAATGAGTCATCCAGTGTTGCTTAGACTCACATCATGGTTGAGCAGATCCTGAACCAGAGGTCTTGTTGCGACCTCCACAACCTTCATCTGACCGTCCTCATCTGACACACTGGAATCAGAAGTACAACCATGAGAATGAAACCAAATAGGAAAAATGTTTTGTGAGCTCAATCATCCAGGTAGATACCAAGAAAAATGGTTAAATCATGTCATCTGGACCTCTTTTTTTACTTAAAGAAAGAGGTCCAGATGACATGATTTAACCATTTTTGTTGAAACCAAACAGGGTTCAAGAGCATCACTAAGAGGGAGCAGCTCACCAGTAAAGCGTGAGGTTAGCCTTCATTTCCTGGTCGACGACTTCATCTGGCTTCCCCTCCGTCAGGCCCGAGGTTCTTTCACCAAGAACACTGTTCATGAGCTCCATGTTCTGAGGAGAGCTGCTTTCTGCATCCCCCTCGATCACTCTGATCTCTGCTCGGCCTCCTCGCTCTCTGTCTCGGATATCTTTGGCCAGCAACATGCCCTGAGAGACAGACGGAGCGCATGCAATGAAAGACTCGAGTTTATTAAGGTGAACCGGTAAAGTTCTGATTAGTGATATAGGCTTTGTTAAGCTTATTTTTATTTGCTCTGCAACTTTAGACAAGCAGCAATCTAAACAATCCAAACAAATGCATTGGTTGTCTGTTAACTTTTTGGAGTGGACCCATTTCTATGGAACACCAAAATGCTCAAAAATAAATAAATAAAGCATTATGAACTCATCTAAGCTCATTATTATGAAACTTTTTCATTTTCATTCTTTTGTTTCATAATTGTGTTTTCCATGTTGGCTCATTTATTTCATAATGGCGTTTTTCATCAGAATGACTTCAGCTGTCAATCAATGTCAGTGGGTTGGACCTGCATGCACACTGGATGATCCTTCACATCCATTAGTTTTCCTGCTGCTCACTGCAAAGGTGCAGCTAGCATAGCAGCTTGCAGCGACTTGCTAGGTCATGAAGGATGGCAGAGTTGCATGAACTTTTTTCAGCTCAGGTAACTTTTTAGCAGATCTAGTTAAGAGGATTACGTTCACGTTAAAGTTGAAGAACTAAAACAGTGAGTCCTCCGGTGCACGCTCCCACGGCACCGATCAATTTTTGGCAGCCCATCCCTTTTTGTCACGACACCTGCATCTTCTGAGAACGTAATCCTCTCAATTTGATCTGCTAAAGTTACCTGAGCTGAACAAAGTTCATGCAACTCTGCCATCCTTCATGACTGTTGACCTAGCAAGTTGCTGCTACGCTAGCTGTACCAGTGAGCAGGAAAACTAATGGATGATGTGAAGGATCAGCCAGTGGGCGTGTCAGTCCAACCCACTGACGTTGATTGACAGCTGAAGACATTCTGCTGAAAAGTCATTATGAAATAAATAAGATACCATGAAAAACACAATTATGAAATAAAATTATAAAAAATATTTTTTTCTCATTTCATAATGTTTTACTTATTTATTTAATTTTGAGCATTTTGGTGTTCCATACATTTCAAGATGGATGGCACAGCTAATTGACCCGAGCAGAAAGTTTGATAGCAGCTGATGGTCATCACCAACTCATACTTTGGTCACTGATTTTGCAAGATCCTGAAAAAAATGAGATCTCAATATAATTTACCAGATTTGACCAACATAAGATGATCTAAGCCATAAATCTGATATAATGCGGCAGGTGAGTGCTAGATCTTAAATTTCATGATCTTTCTTCATCACTTCATGCTCATTTTCATTCTGCATGTTTTTGTCATTGTGGATTTTGATATTTATATTTTGCAAATATGCTTAGACTAAACAACCATCTATCCATTTTTTTTTCCAGGTCACGGGGGAGTTGGTGCTTTTGTCCGAGTGTGCGAGTGGTGGGGTTCGACTTAGACAAGCTCCAGCCCATCACAGGGACACAAACGAGACAAACAACCATTCACACCCTCACTCACACCTAGGGACAATTTGAAGTTGCTAATTGACCTGACATGCATGTTTTGAGTCTGCTAAAGGAACCCAGAGCAAACCACGTGTGGACTTTGAGAACATGCAAACTCCATACAGAAAAGTTCGGGAGGCAAATGTGCGACCATCTTGACCAGTGCTATATTGTGCTACCCTGCTTTTAAATCTGTTTGCCATTTGTACACATATAACTTGAAGATTTGATGTATTTAACATCCAAACATGACTTTCACACCTGCCACAAAACTTAAATAAAGAGTATTTTGATGGTTAAAAATCTAAATTTGAGTGATAACAGTGAAGCAATGCTTTCCTGCTGCTTCCCCTGCTGAAAATGAGCTTCCACTATGCGCACAAATGAAGGATGCTAATATTTGACTTCTGAGCAATGAGGATGTCCATTACAAGACAATGCCATTTGTTTAAATGTAGTTTTAGCTGCTGTTACCTGAGGTTATTACTAACTGTGTGATTTCTATTTAAGCTGAATATTTAAATCAGTGATGAAGAGCCCTATAGTCCCCTTACTTTGAGCCTTTCCTGTTTGTTGCTCTTTGGTCCGTTCCACTGCACAATAGTTTTTCCAAGGTCTAACAGAAAGACATCTCCAAGGTTGAAGCTCTTCCAGCTCATCTCCACCTGCAACGCAGTGAAACACAAAGAATGCTTTCTACATGAAGCCTACGTCCCATGATGTCATATAAACACATAGCTCACCTCTTTGGCAACCACTCTTTTCTTTCCCTTCACGTGAAGCAGCCTCTCAATGTTGTAGGTGTTGGTTTCAGTGTGTCTCATGCCCGTTGCAATGCCCCCCGTCTTATATCTGAACAACACAAACCAATATTCTTCACAACTCCCTTGACCTTTTCCAAAGTAGCACCGTTTTGTTTTACTCACATTATTCCCTGTTTGAAGTAGCCCCTGAAAGTGTCTGACTCGTAGTTCTGAACTTCTCTGTACTGGACCGGAGAGGAGCCTAAAAAGTCATCAAGCTGGACGGTGTACACAGCAGCTGCTCCCTGCTCGTCCTGAGAGGACTCGGAGCCAATCCAGTAGTGGATGTTGTAGCTCAAAGCAGATTTCAGCTTCTGCGTCTGCAGACAGTGGACAGTGGACAAACTGTGTGTGCAGCTCAGGAGGAGAATAATGCAATTTCTAAAACTTTCATTCTTTCTTTGTTGTCCAAGGTAACATGTCAGAATGCCTATAAAACTGTAATAATCCATTCACAATCCCAGACTTACAAATAGAAGGACATAGCAGTCGCCCTCGTAAAAATTTCCATACGATTTTTCAGGAACTTGAACCAGCTCCATTTTCTGTTGCACAGAGATGGGAAGGGGATTTACCAACAGGTTTACCAGCATTCTTTTAAATGAAGATGTTTATCTTATCAAACAGTTAATGTATGAAATTAAATCAATTCACCTCAATTCTCCAGATTATAATCCCGGGGTTGCGAGTTACAGCTCTGAATGTGTACTCCATGTTGTCTCGTTGCAGTCCGTTTCAGTGACACTTCTGTCCTTTTTTGATGAAACAAAGGTTTTAAAAGATTTTGACACAAATGTATTATGTTTTAAACATGTTTTACTGCAGGATTATCACATACAACGATTCGCATCTCTAATGTCTTGACAAACACATGGATAATTCAATGAACTATAAGCCGCGGATTTAATATATTTTTAAACAATACGTACCAGGTATGTTCATGTGAAGGGCTCATATGATCATCCAGCAGCTAATGTCCTGTCTGATAACAAGAGACCCACAGTTCTCGTGCCAGCAGTGCTCCTAAGAAATTTGCCTGCCTTTTTGCATTTTCAGAGCCTGTCATGGAGCTCTGCCCAATCACGGAGGAAGATTTGAGATCCTGTAGGCAAATGTGCTAGAAAAGGAAAAGGCACTGACTCATATTCAAATACTGTAAACACATAGTAACACTGATCATCTCTATCATACAACATTTACATCATGCACAGTAAATACAATAATATAAACTCAGCTGTAAACTGTCTGCTGTCTTTAAGTAAAATGCACATTAGGATTTGTGACTATTTCAAGTAAAACCGTAGGAATTAGTCAAATAAGGTTCAAGGTGACTTTATTGTCATTTGCATCACATGTGGTGCATGAGGTGGAACAAAGTACTGTACTCAAGGTCCCAGTTACATACAAAAATAGCCATAATTTAAACTATTTAAAAAAGACAACAGTATACAAGGATCTAAGATATATGCTAAACAATAATAATAGCAAGTTCAAGTATTTTTATTGTCATTCGCATCACATGTGGTACATGAGGTGGAATGAAATTGTGTGCTCAATGTCTCATTTACATGTACATACATGTTCTCATTGTATCTCGGTGCAATGGTAATAAATATTATTCTGATTCTGATTCAGGGTAGAAGCTGTTCCTCAGTCTAGTGGTTCTACACTTAATGCTCTTCAACCTCCTGCCTGAGGAGAGCGGGGCAAAAAGTGTGTGTGCTGGGTGAGTGTGGTCCTTCATGATGCAGGTGGCCCTCTTCCTGCATCTGGAGGTGTAGATGTCTGTGATGGTGGGGAGACTGACTCCAACAGACTTCTGTGCAGCCTTCACCACTCTCTGCAAAGCTTTTCTTTCTGCAGCTGTGCAGCCTTCATGCCACACATTGATGCTGGAGCACAGGATGCTCTCCACTGCACACCTGTAGGAGGAGGTGAGGACTGAGCTTCCCAGACCAGCTCGTCTCAGCTGCCTGAGGAAGTAGAGTCTTTGATGAGCTTTCTTGATCATGCTGGAATTGTTATTGCTCCAGCTGAGGTTGTCATTCAGGTGCACACCCAAGTACTTGTAGCTGGAGACCACTTCCACCACAGATCCTCCTATGTGCAGGGTGTGTGTGTGGGTGGGGGTGGGGAAGGCATATCTATCTATGTATATCTATAAGTCATTTTGTAGCATTAAATACCCTGTATTACTGATTTTGACTTTGCATTATTCATTGTACAAAATGCAATGACTCTTAAAAGTTGTACATTCAAAAACGTATTTAATCATCCACATTATGCATAAAAATGTGAACATGCAGAACAATAGCTGATATTTACCTATATGTGTTACAACGTCATATTTATCTCAAAGTGCTTTTACATTCACACAAATTAACCTGTTAACACACACGCCCAACAAGTTCTTACACTGCTCATTATCATTCATTTTTCTCGATTAAAAAAACCACAAAACAGATCGCGGACGTCATGAAGTCCAGCATCTTGGACAATTTCAGAAATGAAACCAGAATCAAACTGTCCTCCTCATGTTTCCTCCCCTTCAGTGATGAAATGTTTGGTGCTTCATCTTTGTTTTACATGTTAGCATCCCATTCATTGGATTTATAATAAAAATAAAGGCTTGGTGCTCAGGTAACCTCAACACACTGCTGATAAACTGTTAACCAAATAAAGCACAGCACGTATGAACATGTAAGTGTTATGATTTATCAAATTACTGCATGTTGTACTTTCAAACACAAAAACACATGTTAGTACTTGAAAGACACTCAAGAAATGTCAGTTTTTGAAGACACTAGTGAACAGAAAAATAATTCAAACCAGGACTTGAGCATATAAAGTTTCACACATTTTTTTTTAAAACTTGCTTTCATGGTGTGTGAGGGAAGTTTTAGTTAAATAAGCACATCCATGTTGTTAAAATAATTTCTCTATAGTGTGTGAATTGGAGCAAAGAGAAAAAAATATGAGAAGTACTGAATAAAAATAAACTTACAGTAAATAATGAACATGCATCAGTCTTTGAAGCATTGTTTTTTGTTGTTTTGTATGAAATACCATTAAGTTGTAACTTATTATCATTTATAGCGCATTTATAAACTCAGACTTGGAAAAAGTTTTATATTTTGCAAAAAAAAAAGTAATAAACAAAGGTTTGTATACTCAGATAAATGGGATGTTTTTACCTGCATGAAAAAAGATCAGTCTGTCAGTGCTTTTATTGTGAAGGAGAAAGTGTCAGGATTTAGACTTTGTAACTTTAGTTTAGTTAATTTTTCTTTCTTTCTTTCTTGTGTGTGCATATATTTTGTCTTCTTATTTTCTTCTGTTATTTATACTCTTATTTCCTGTTTTTCCTTTATTTATGTTTTTTTTTTCCTCTTGTGAATTCTGGTCAAGTTATTTCCTGTTTCTGCTTTTTGCCTGGTTGTAATTTGGATCCAAAGGACAAAAACAAAACATAATCCTTGAATCCTTGAGTAATACTAAGAAGAACTATCAATCAACCTTTATTTATACAGGTAAATCCCATTGAGCCTCGAGGACTCATTTACAAGAGAGACCTGATTTCAACAAAGAAAGATGACAACAATGGACAACAGCAACAACAATAAGCAGTTATAAAAACTCATACTACAGTTTTTTTTTTTGTTTTTTTTAACAAATAGGATGGCTAAAAGGAAAAAAAGGTAACAAAACAAAAAAAACAGCTAGATTCCAAGACAAATGTATAAAACTAAAAACAGGAACACGTCTGCATTGGTCCCTGCATTGGTCCCTGAACTAAAAGGCTAAATAAAATTGCAGAAAAGCACAGATACGACACATTTCAAAAGACCTGAGGTATGTCCCTGTTATGATAACTGCATAGTGGTAACTAAATAATATAAGTCTTTTTTTGTTTTTAAATGCACGTTTATATCCTGCACCGATAAAGAGACGTTTGCATGTAATTCTGCACGCTCTGGCAACATATGTAATCTGTAACCATGCAAAGGAAAAGTTATTTACATTTGGGCACCACCTGCTTAAATAAGTATTATTAGGTTGGCCCGTCTCAGACCGTTACTCTCACAGAGGAGTCAGTATAAAAAATGTTTGTGCTCAAACTAAAAATTTTATTAATATTTTCTTTTTCATGAAGATTTTCAGGTGTAACAGATAAAAGGTGGGCTGGTGATGTTTTGGAATTTCAAAAAAGTAATTAGCGCCGACACACTGTTAGCGCACAGACGCACCGCAGTGGTTCTGTGAACATGAACATGCAAAGTGTTTCCATTGTTGAGCCTAAAGAACTAAAGGGACACTGTTTTGCTTTGCAAAGTCCATTCACGGCCTCAGATGCACAGAGTGCGCTCAGGGTTTGGTTTCACGATTAAAACTGCCCTGAACAACAAATCTTTGAGGCTTTTTCCTTCATGTCCTCACACAGACAGGATTTTTGTTTTTACATCCAAAAACTCCTGCTGTGTGTCCAACCTGGAGACCATGGGCTGGACTTCAAATAACCCACATCTAATAAACGACATACCTATGAGTGAGCCATCGCCTTGGCTCGGTTTTGAAAGGTTGTCGTATAATTAGAGAGGAAACCAGATACTTTATATAATCCATGTCCTTCATTTTCTCTTTAATTTTCTCCACTAATGACTGGTTTTGTTTTGTTAAGCTGTGGGCTTCGCTGAAGACTCAGAAAACCTCCAGAAACACATGTAATATGAAAGCATTGTATTCAGTTTACACTAAACTTTGGTGGTCTCAAATAAATGGACATTAAAATGTTTAGAAATGTGGTCTCTTAATTCATGCAGAGCAAAAACTACAATCCTCTGATCTGACCTGCATAAGGAAAAAAGACTTCTTCAGTGTTCTTCATCTTTTTAATAAAAGACGAAACGTTTCAACAGAGAAGAATCCGTCCATTCATTAAAATCCGTTTAGTAGTTTATGAAATATTTTGCTAACAGACAGACAGTGCTGACCCCATGAATTGATGACGAAAATTCAAATAAAGGTTTTGTACAATCTGTTAATTCCCAAAATTTGTGTTGGGCATCATGGTTGGTTTCTAATACACCAATTCCATATATGACTCAGTTAAAACCATTTACACTTTATAAGAGCAGTTGGCTGTGGCAGCCATCTTGATTTGAGTTGTTTTCAAAAGGTAAATATGCTGCCTGGCCAAAAAAAAAGTCGCCACCAAAAAAAAGGTCACACACTAATATTTCGTTGGACCGCCTTTAGCTTTGATTACAGCGTGCATTCACTGTGGCATTGTTTCGACAAGTTTCTGTGAGTCACCAGATCTATTTCCATCCAGCGGTGCATTAATTTTTCTCCAAGATCTTGCATTGATGATTAGACACTAGGCATGATGGGTGCATCACTTCACTTGTCTCTCTTCTTGCCTTGATGTGCCCATCACTCTGGAACAGGGTAAATCTGGACTCATCAGACCACATGACCTTCTTCCATTGCTCCAGAGTCCGATCTTTATGCTCCTTAGCAAATTGAAGCTTTTTTTTTCCAGTTAGCCTCACTGATTGGTGGTTTTCTTAAGGCTACACAGCTGTCCAGTCCCAATCCCTTGAGTTCATTTCACATTGTGCGTGTGGAAATGTTCTTACTTTCACTATTAAACGTGGCTCTGAGTGCTACTGTTGTTTTTCTTCGATTTGATTTCACCAAACGTTTAAGTGATCGCTGATCACGATCATTCAGAATTTTTTTCTCTACATTTCTCCCTCGAAGACGATGGGTCCCCACTATCCTTCCAGTTTTTAATAATGCGTTGGACAATTCTTAACCAAATATGAGTAGTTTCTTCAACCTCCTTAGATGTTTTCTCTGCTTGATGCCAATGAATTGACCCTTCTCAAACAGACGGGCATCTTTTCCACGACCACATGATGTGTCTTTCAACACGGTTGTTTAAGAAATGAGAAGCAACTCGTTGCACCAGTTGGGGTTAAATTACTTGTTGCCAGCTGAAAGATAATTGTCCATGCAGTAATTATCCAATAGGAGGCTTGTACCTGTTTGCTTAGTTAAATCCAGGTGGTGACTGTTTTTGGGCCAGGCATTAAAAGATTAATTTATACGAGTTTTACTAAAATACGTAGAGACAATTTTGCTAACAGACAGACACACAGGCAAGCAGAAACATTATCGCCTTTAAGGGAAGGCAATACCTATATACATATTTGTGTATATATATATATATGTATGCATGTATGTATACTGTATTATGTATGTGTGTATACTGTATATACTATATATTAGCTAACATTATTCATGTCTGAGTGAAACTTTAAGGATCAAGACAGCAAAAGATATTTTAAGTTCCCAACAGGTTCAGACAAAAAAAAAAATAATAATCCATGAACTGTTCCAAAAACTCATTTCCGCAAAGAAAGACTGCAAAAGATTTGCATTTCTTTTTGAACTGAGAATTAAATCAGAGCGGTCCAAGGATTCTGGAGGAAATGAATGCATACAAAAACATGCATGCTTGATATGAGCACCTGTGACCTCCAGCCCCCGAGGCATTCTGAAGCATCTGATCCAAGCATTTCTGTTCCAGATGTCACTAAAAGATTTACTGTGCAACAAAAAGAAGCTTTGCTAACTTGGTTCAGGGGCCACTTCCTGATTTAAAGTTACATTTTCTTTAATGACGAGGAATAAAAGCAGAAGATAAACCCCACCCACTGCTATCCCCCTCTCTGCCTCATTGATTCCAGTTAATTTCTTCCTTCTCTTGCGTAACTTGTGATCATGTTTCAGTATACTACGTTTTACAGAAAAGAAGCGTCCGCCAACCTTAAAGCCAAACCTGCAATTTATTTTCAAAAGCATCATTTTTAACCAAACCACCAACCAGGAGAAGCTTTGAACAGAAATCCAGTAAGAAATGTCTTGTTCTTCCATTTGGTGCTGGCTCCTCCCAGACAGCTTAGTAAAACATTCCAGCCCACCTCTGGGAGTCTTCTGGCTCCTGCGTTCACCCTCCCTCAACTCCAGTCAGGATTTTATGAAGGGAGCTGAAAGGGACCGAGCTGACCCAAAATGAGAGGGCTTGTTGTCCTGGTTACTTTGGCCTGCATTGCCACCGCTCAGCATCAACCGCTGATTGACTACTTGGAGAGGAGGCTGCTCGCTATTGAGGTAAATTAAGACTCTCTTGGTCTTCTTGCTGAGCCCAGAGCTCCAGAGTCCCCCTGACAGGAAACTTTCAGGGACACGGCAGATGCAATGGAATGCAGATGTGGGCATATCCTGGGGAAAATAATGGAAAATACTACTCGTCATCATCTGCACAGGCTTCTCATCTGGAAAAAAGTGCAGCTTTTAAGTTTAAATGTGTAATATCGGTACATTGCTTCCAAGGACCAAGACTTTCTTGAAATATTTTAAACTGACCCACAGTTCTTAAAGCTTTTGGAAAGTATTAAAAATGTAATTTTGGACTTTGGCTGCTTTTTTAAAACTAATTTTCTGTCCAATCCTTGTACCTGACCCTTATTGTGCAGGATTGGCATAATGAATAAGAAAAGTGGACAAGCAGAGGACATAAGAAGAAGCTTCAGGCCTAAAAAAATACTATTTAATGAAGATGAGCATTATCTGAAAATCATCTTTCTCACAAAGTGGATAAATATCCATCAAAACCTGAAAGAGGAGCTGAGAGATGTATCATCCTTCAGCTGGTCCTGTCCTGGTTTCAGCTAACAGCTCTGTGGGAATCATCTTGCTGGAGCTAAAGTATTATTTTAAATTGTGTCATCTTTGGTGTTTTTCATGCAAAGTGTCTTTATGGCAGGTCATTGGTAACAATTAAGCATCTAAAGGTCCAATTTAAAACGAGTTCTTGCCTGTTCTGAGTTTAGAAGCTTCTTTGTGCCCAGAATGACTTAAAAAAAAAAACAATAAAACTTCCTTCAAAATGTACTGGATAGAAAATGAGTTCACAGATGAAAGTGGTGCTGCAAAATCCTCCAGCTGCACCAGCGTAGCTGCTGAGTGTTCCTAAATGGTTTTTTTTTCTTCCATGAAGAGGATGTGACCTATGAACATGTCATTTTATTCCATCGTGGTTATGTGGAAAACAAAAAGCGAGACGTGCAGCTTTATAATAACAGTTTTATAGATGTTTTTTTTTATCATGCAGCACATTTTTAACATCCATATTCAGATAAATGTATCACATTTTACTGTATTTTTTTGGTATTGCAATACTTTTAAATAGGTGTCTAAAAAATTCTCACATATACTCACAGCAACCCCCAACTCAAATAATTTATGTCTTTGGCTAAAACAGCACAAATCCAAAGAATATCCTTTAAGATAAGCCCTAAAGTGCGTTTGGCTCTTTGCAAGTAAAATAAACAGTGAAGTGATGCTTATTTTTTGCACAGGACCCTAGATGTGCAAAATTTGTTCAGAAATGGTAAATATGAAAAACAATTCTGGGCAACCAAAAAAAAATCAGAAAATAATGTTTGCTATTATATTTAGCAAACGATCAGAGGTAGAATGCAGTCTCTTCTGATATAAAACCATTTTTAAGTCACATTGTATTTAATTCAAAAAGCGTTCAATACAAATTTAATATTTATTATATTTAGTATTTAATCTATTTAACAGAAAATTCACAAAGGTACATTTTATTTGGAGTTAGCCCAAAAAACAACAAAAAAAGAAAAGAAAATCCGGACAATTCACTTATTAAGAATCTATACTGTTTAAAACTGAACTTGCACACACTAATCCTGACCCTTCAGTATCTGCTTTGTGAGCTCATCGCCTGTAGATAAATGAACTTTCTTTCTTCACATCTTGGATCTGTTGCAAAGCAGCAGCACTAAAAGCTCAGAACATTTTCCTGAATGACACTTGATCAGAGCTGCAGTGTACTTTTCTGTCCTAAATACAGCAGAGAATTATGGCCTTCACTTGTAGTTTCTGTCAAATAAATAGTTTATTTTTTACTCTGAAACGTGAACAGGTTGTGTTCAGACGTTGGTTGCACTGATGGGTTTGACCCCAAACAGGACAGGATCACTCTGTGGCAGGAACAGACCGCTCGGTACGCCTCGGAGCTGCGGGAGCTGAAGCAGCAGATGGTTTCACAGCTGGAGAGCCTGGATAGAGAGAAGGAAACACTGAGGACGAACCTGGATGGCGTGGGGACGAGGGTGGACCGGGTCGAGCGGGAACTGGACTACCTGGAGACTCACAACGGGGCCCAGCCATGTGTGGACGTGGACGACAAGCTGATAGAGCAGCAGGTGACTCTGGTGACGGAGAAGCAGAAGGCCAAATACTTCAAGCTCACAGGTGAGACACAGTGGTCCAAATAACAGAAGATAAAATACTTGTCCATCAAATGAAAATCTTTTATTTTCTTGATCTTAATGTCCACTTGTACAAAACAGAAAAAAACAACCAGTTTACATAAAAGTGACCACTTACTGCAATTTCTATTTCAAATACCGTACTTTTCGCCATATAAGTTGCATCAGTCCAAATATGTCTGAGTGAAAAAAAACATAAATATGTCACTTCACCGTATAAGTCACATCTATTATGTGTCACCTCTGACAACCCGGAAACGTGGGCGGATGTGCCAAAAATCTATTGGCTGCCAAATGGCGGCCGCAGGAGCATGCATGAGAAGATTTTAACAAGAATTCAACAAGATTAACACTTAAAAACAATAATTTGTTTGTTTGAAATTATAGCAAAGGTGTGTCTCAGTTGAACTTTTCCTTAATAAATGCACTTTAATGGTCAAATCAGCTGCATTTCAAAAGCAGATTTGCGACAGCATGCAGAGGGAGGACTCGCTGTGCATTTGTTTGAAATATAACAAGATAACCGCCTAAAAAAAATGATCTGTTTGCTTGACATTATAGTAAAGGTGTGTCTCAGTTGATCTTTTCTTTAATAAATGCACTTTAATGGTCAAATCAGCTGCAATTCACCTGGGCGGTGCAGTGAAATGCAGCTGATTTGACGTTTACTCCAGGAGTTCTGGAGAGAGACAAAAGTGACTTGTATGGCAAGCCAAGTGTCTCACTAATAGCCACTTTTACCTATTAATGAGACACTAAGCTTGCCATATAGCCTGAGGGCCTGCAGCTGAAAATGATAGTGTTCAATATTTTTTCATGTCAGAATGAATGAAATCGTCAGATCTCAGCCAAAAATTGGGTTATAAATATGGGGAAATATATATAAATATATTAGTCGCTTCAGTGTATAAGTCACAGGACTTGCAAATTTATGCAAAAATATGCGACTTATACGATGAAAAATACGGTAATTTTTTAACTTGATCATTTCATTTTTGACAGCCACCCAGTGGTTCCTTAAGAATGATCAAAATAATGATCCATCCATCCATCCATTATCTTTACCCGCTTATTCCATTTTGGGTCACGGGGGTCACTAGTGCCCATGTCCAGCAATCACTGTGCGAGGGGCGGGGTACACCCTGGACGGGTCGCAAGTCCATCACAGGGCCAAAATAATGATAATAATTGTAATAATAATAATGATAATAATAAAAATGATAAGTGTCATTGGATGAAAGCTGAGGAATAACCTGGACAAGTTTTATTCTATGCATGTTCACACATATTTAGACTTTTCTACGTGGGAAAACAGTTGTTTTTAAAATTTGCTGTTTCTAAAAATATCCTCATAAGCAGGGCACCTTTTCACAAAATAACTTCATCTACACAGAAACACTAAAAATGATCCAAACCACTGTAGTGACCTTGGCAGGCCTCTCTCCGTGTGTGTGTGTGTGTGTGTGTGTGTGGGTGGGGGGGGGGTGGGGGGGGGCTGCTGAAATTCCACAGAAAACTAAATTCAAAGTGCAGAACACACAATGTTTGCACACTGGGCGTGAAATGTAAACACAACAAGAAGAGAACGCTCTTGGGTTGTAGGTTAAGTTAGAGGTGGCATCAATCCTATGAAACTACAAGGCTGGCGTTTCAACATGTTCTCACTCTGACTCCATTAAAAAAATAAACAGTTTTGGAGGTCCTAGTTTCTGTGAGAACAAAAGACTGAAACAGAAAAAACATATTGTGTATTCCCAGAGGAATGGCCTCTTAGTGCCAGTCTAATTTAATGTGCAGATTTCTGCGTTCCTGGTGGAAACCCACCATCACAGGAAGAGCATGAAAACTTAAAGTGACAGTTCAGATCTTTTGAAATTGTGGTAAAAGTTATAAACATCTATGATCTTATAGCTGTAGATAGATCTTTGAATGATCTCAGTTTGCAGAAACTGTGTTTAATTCTGACAGGAAGAACAGTTTCTCCAAACTGAGGTTGTTCAAAGATCCATCTACAGCAGGTAAGACCATAACTGTTCATAACCTGAACTGGAAATGGTTAAATATTCTATATTATTAGCATTTATCACTTTGTTCAAAATTCCAGGCACCTTTTATTTAAGTTAAATTAGTCTGGCAGATTCAAACAATCACGCTAAGCGGTTCAGTTAATCAAATAATCCAAAGCATCTTTACTGACAACAGTGGGCTAAATTCATAATTTCAATTCAGCTGAAAAAGATTTACATGTTCAAACAACATGTGCACATTACAAAGATTTTTAGTAAAGATAACATAAAGTATCATAAGTTCAGGGGTCTTTTGATTTTTGACCATCGGTGTCTCCCGTCTCATTGACAGACTGCAGCGAAATGATCTCCAGCATAAAAGCCATGAAGATCCTGAAGAGGGTCGGGGGGTCAAAGGGCATGTGGACCAAAGACACCGGCGGCGCCTCGGGGAAGGTCTTCATCTTTAACGGGACGGCTGAGAACACCATCAACGAGTTTGCTGCTGTCAAGGACTTCACCCGCTCGCAGAGCTTCTCTCTGTCCACTGACCTGAAGCTCCCGTCTGCCTGGAGCGGGACGGGCCACGTGGTCTACAACAACCACGTGTACTACGTAACCCAGGCTGAGGAGCTAATGGTGGTCAAATACGACGTGAGAAACTACTCCGTCACAGACAGCGCAGTGTTTCCAGTGCAGGACCACGTTCCTGTGTACGGCCTGAACCCGGACACGGTCATGGACCTGGCTGTGGACGAGGAAGGCCTGTGGGCCATCTACGCCTCGCAACAGAACGAGAGACACATCTCTCTGGCTAAAATGGACAGCAACTCGCTGGACATCGAGCAGATGTGGGACACCAACTGTCCAAGAGAGAACGCAGAGGTGGGCTTCGTCATCTGCGGCACTCTGTACGTGGTGTACAACACCAAGCAGCCCGGCCGCTCACGGGTGCAGTGCGTGTTTGACGTGAACGACATGGTGACAAACGAGGAGGCGCCTCTGGTTTACTTCCCAAAACGCTACGGCTCTCACTCCAGCCTGAAGTACAACCCGCAGGAGCAGCTGCTCTACGCCTGGGACGACGGCTACCAGATCCTCTACAAACTCATCATGAAACAGAAGTTAGAAGTCTGAGCTGAATGAAATAAAGCCTGTTTTGTTTTTGATTCAATATAACAGCATCTATCGTGGCATTTACTTCGGTCAAACCTTACACTTCAAGATAATTGCATTAAAGGAAAATCTGGTCTTTTTAAATGTTTTCTTTCAAGCAGTTATCTGTTAGCACCTTATCAGCCGTGATGTCAGAGTCAGACGGTGAATTCAGCAGAGAAGAGTTGGCTCAGAACCGTCAAGTAAGAGGGGGTGCGAGTGTTTATAACATAGATGTTTAACAACCCGTTAAAATACACCAAAATGCAGGAAATCTACTTTATTCAAAATTTTTGGGGGGAGGTTCTCAAGACACACCCCTGCCCCCCAACCTGCTATTTGTGTTCAGGCATTGATTGGTTTACAAATTAAGCCCTGTACATAAGTAAACACATGATTCAATAACATGGTAATGGCACAAGAAGAAGCCTGACCAACAGCTCTCCTTGTGTGAACAGAGCACACTGTGCTTCTCTCACCTAGCAACAGTCTAAGAAACATAGTGTATCCTAAGTTAACTTTTAGGGGGAAGAAATCACTAATATAATAATCATTTCACATTGGCTTGAGTTTTTTCCCCATCATGTAATTATATAATTTTAATAATAAATATGTCGTGATTTGAAGTGGGCCAGTCTGGGGGATGAGACTCCAGGACTGAAAAGGAGTTCCACTCCGGCCCTGGGCACACATTAAAGGTAATGAGGGGTTCAGCGTTTTGCCCAGGGACACTCCAACATGTCTGCTGGTAGAATCGAACCCCCAACTCTCCACCAATTGGACGACTGCTTTAACCACTCAGCCACAGCTGCTCTGTGCCAGTTTATTGTTCAGTGTACCTCTTGACAAGGATTTATCTGCATTTATCAGCAAACTGAATTATTTTCCATGTCAAGTCCATCAAAATTACAATTTATTTCTCCAAACCGAGGTCATTTAGAGCACCTACAACAGGTAAGATATTAATTATTCCTTTCCTTTCCACAGTCCCAGTTCAAGTGAGCCAATTTATTACCTCAAGGCAGATTTTTGTCAAAATAAAGCTATAAGAAATCCTGAGCATGTTAATTTTAAAGCAATTAATTGACACAGAGCCTATAAGGTTTTGACAACTACTGATGATGCTCTATTATCCCAAATTTATATTTACAAAAAATATTTCAAAATCTAAAAAATAATTGGTCTGTATGAAAATTGAATTGTCGGAATTTGTTTCATAAATTGACCTGTGGCTACCTGCGTTTCTATAGCACAGCATTAGTCCCTCATCCACTCTTTGAATCTCACACTGTAACTCAGTCCAGGGTCCAGACACCACCATCTACAACAAATTAAAGGCACAAAATGTTTCCTGCATGTATACAAGCACCAACAACCTTTTAAACAAGTTTATTTTGCTCAGCTATATATAAACAATATCTATAAAAAAACTGTGCATTAAGTTGGAATAAAATCTAAATTAAAAAAAAGATGCAACAGCAGACTGAATTCTGCAACATGAAAGACATTTTTATACTAGAACTCCAGTTTTGAAGGAAAGATGCACTTTTAAACTCCCTTCGAGATCATTTGGACCCAAATGTTGCAAATTGACAGAAAATTCAACTTGCAGGAAAACGTGTAATCTCAGGCTCTTCTAAGCACCGTTTTTCATTACTTTTTCCTACAAAGCATGCACTTTTATTTTTGCACAATCCCACAAACGTTTATTTACTTCCAACCCTTTGACTTCTTGATTTCGAACAAGTCGCTGAGGAAGAACTCAGTGGGAGGCACTGTTGTGTCTGACTTGAACTCAATAAATCCCAAATCACAGATAACATCAAAGTTGGCAGTTGCACATAAATATGCTAAATATTGTTAGAAATTATAGTTTAGACCCTTCAAACTCGTAGGACATTACAGCTGAAATAACAGCAGAACTTTCAGGATATCCAGCTTCTTGAAGGAAGCTTTTAGAGACTGAAGAATCCTGCAGAGTCCAGATCCATCTGAGGCTCAGACCTGAAACAAGGCAAGTGGTCCTTATTGCTTAGATGTTAATGGTGTTTAAACACCCCGACAACTTTGCACAAATTAAAGTCTCAGATGAGGAGTCGGCATGGTGACGTCCCGGAAAAATCGATGTACAAGTGCATTTTTGGCAGAAATCCTTTTGTTTGGATCATAATTCAGCATTTCCTAAATAAATAAAAAAGACAAAAAAACAAAAGCAGTCAATCAAAACGTTAATATTTCCAATTAAGTTTTTTTTTCTTCTCCAAATAAGATTTTAAAAGTGCTTACTCCCAGCAGTTCTCTTCCATCCTCATCAAGAAGAGGCACCACTTTGGATAAATCCTGCTGAGCCCACTTGGGAAAGGATGGTTTGTAGTCTGGCATCGATGTGACTCCGGGCCAGACGGTCTCATCAGGAGTTCCCAGTGTGCGAAAGATCCTGAATAACTGATCTATCTCAGAGTCGCCGGGGAATAAAGCCCTCCTGGTGATCTGTGGACACACATCTGCTGGTTAGATTTCAACACTTTCTGCATGATGTACAAGCTTGGTTTTGTTCTGAGGCTGGGACTATCACCATTTCAGCAAAGATGCACCCCAGACTCCAGATGTCAACAGCTGTGGAGTAGTATTTGCAGCCCAAGAGGATCTCTGGTGCTCTGTACCAAAGTGTTACCACCTGAACATAAAAAAACAAACACTTTTTCCCAACAAAAAACCCAAAAGATGTACCAAGACAAACAAAGACACGATGATGATAGGCTTATTACACTAAGACTTTAACAAAGCACTCAGTAGTAGTTCACTCTGCTGCTAAATGTAGGGCGTGAGAAAAATAAGTCACCTCATTAAGGATTGCATGAACATGGTTCAATGGCTTACCTCGTGTGTGTATGTGCGTACAGGGACCCCAAAGGCCCTCGCCAGGCCAAAGTCAGCCAGCTTGATCTCACCCTGCGCGTTGATGAGGAGGTTCTGTGGCTTTAGGTCTCGATGAAGAACTCTGTGAGAGTGGCAGAAAGCCAGGCCTTGCAGCAGCTGGAAAAGGTAACTCTAAGAAAAACAAAAAGGACTTCTCTTAGAAAAGTTAAACCTCTATAGAGCATAAATGTTCAATATTTTGAGTGCGATAAATTTGAAGTGATGCATACCTTAACCAAAGGCAGTGGGATGCCAGTGACGGTGGAGGAGTCCATGAACTTCTTCAGATCTTGATGGAGGAACTCGAAAACAAGGTAGAGCTTGTTTTCTGTGTGGATGACATCTCGCAGTCTACAAAAACAATTTGTTTAAGTTACCTTCAAATCTGACACAACAAAAAGAATCATGCAAACAAGACTCAGATTCAGTAAAAAAAAAAAAAACTTACTTGACAATGTTTGGGTGACTGAGTTCTTTGAGAAGTGAAATTTCTCGGATAGCTGTGCTTGGAACACCCTCCGTTTCTCTAGAAAAACAATCACAACAAAAATTAGCTTTCAATGCGTATAGTAATGTCATTGTACAGTCTACTGAGGCCCACTGCTCTCGTAGGATGACATACACTGCCTGGCCAAAAAAAAAGTCGCCACCTGGATTTAACTAAGCGAATAGGAGCCTCCTATTGGATAATTACTGCATGGGCGATTAGCTTTCAGCTAGCAACAAGTTATTTAACCCCAACTGGTGCAATGAGTTGCTTCTCATTTCTTAAACAACTGTGTCGAAAGATCACGTGGTTGTGGAAAAGATGTCCGTCTGTTTGAGAAGGGTCAAATCATTGGCATCAAGCAGAGAAAACATCTAAGGAGATTGTAGAGACTACTCATATTGGGTTAAGACCTGTCCAACGCATTATTAAAAACTGGAAGGATAGTGGGGACCCATCGTCTTCGAGGGAGAAATGTGGAGAAAAACATCCTGAATGATCGTGATCAGCGAAATGTTTGGTGAAATCAAATGGAAGAAAATCAACAGTAGCACTCAGGGCTGTGTTTAATAGTGAAAGTAAGAGCATTTCCACATGCACAATGTGAAATGAACTCAAGGGAATGGGACTGAACAGCTGTGTAACCTTAAGAAAACCACTAATCAGTGAGGCTAACTGGGAAAAAAGGCTTCAGTTTGCTAAGGAGCATAAAGATTGGACTCTGGAGCAATGGAAGAAGGTCATGTGGTCTGAGGAGTCCAGATTTACCCTGTTCCAGAGTGATGGGCGCATCAGGGTAAGAAGAGAGGCAGGTGAAGTGATGCACCCATCATGCCTAGTGCCTACTGTATAAGCCTGTGGGGGCAGTGTTATGATCTGGGGTTGCTGCAGTTGTCAGGTCTAGGTTCAGCATGTTCAGGATGTGCTCAAAGAATGAGGTCGGAGGACTACCTGAATATACTGAATGACCAGCTTATTCCATCAATGGATTTTTTTTTTCTTCCCTGATGGCACGGGCATATTCTAAGATGACAATGTCAGGATTCATTGAGCTCGAATTGTGAAAGAGTGGTTCTGGGAGCACGAGACATCATTTTAACACATAGAATGGCCAACACAGAGTCCAGACCTTAACCCCATTGAGAATCTTTGGGATGTGTTGGAGAAGGCTTTGCGCAGTGGTCAGAATCTGCCTTAATCAGTGCAAGATCTTGGTGATGGATGGGAATAGATCTCGTGACATCACAGAAGCTTATCGAAACAACGCCACAGTGAATGCACGCTGTAATCAAAGCTAAAGGCGGTCCAACGAAATATTAGTGTGTGACCTTTTTTTTTGGTGGCGACTTTTTTTTTGACCAGGCAGTGTATTTCCTAAAAGACTTTTTTAACATTCAAACACAGCAATATTAAATGTTGTGTTATTTTTAATTGAGAAACAATCATAATATTTTACTGCACTTTTAGAAAAATGTGTTCAATCACCAGGAAGGAAAGCTTCACAACATAAATGCGTGTTTATGTATTACAGATTTCTTATCTTTTATATATATTTTTAAACATATTATGACCCCTAAGATTGTGGTTTCCAAGGTCGAGAGCCTGTTGTGGGTCATGAAACATCAAGTGGGGGAGTCCTTAGATAATCTCAAGGTTTTTGCTTGTATTACAAAAATAACTGCTTAGGGCGTATTTTCACTGTTATACAAAATCAAAACATTACTGATACAACACTAATTTTATTTAATATTTCAAGCAAAGTTTGTACATTTTAAGCTATAATGAAGTCACTAGCCTGATGTGGGTCAGAGGCTAAAAACATGAAGAAAATCAGATTTTAAGATTTATTTACATTTAAAACACCTTCTCATTATTGGAGGTGACTTTTAGAGGATAAACAAATGTGAGAATGCTCTCAAGAAAAGAACAAATTTTGGTTTTGGATGATATATTTGATTTATTTAAGCACTTTGGTAACAGCTGCTGCTTTAAATGTACTTATAAAGTTGATTTGACTATATGTGTAGGCTACTGAATAAATTGTTTAAAAAGTAACAAATAGTTGTGTTTCACTTGTCATATGAAGCTAGCAGAGCAATAATGAGCCATAAATGATTAAAAGTTGATAAAGCTGAAGCACAGTGGTGGTTTGTTTTTAGCTCCTGTTAGCTTGAAGACGATAACTTACGTGTCCAGTCGGATTTTCTTCAGAGCAACAGTTTCTCCGGTCAGTTTGTTCTTGGCTTTGTAAACCACTCCGTACGTCCCTTCTCCTATCTTTTCCACCTTCTGAAATGTATCCATCTTTTATAGGAGAGACGGAAGAGTGTGTGGGTGTAGCTGCTTAGCAAGACCTCGCTCTTTGTGCGGGAGCTAACAGCCGCTCGCGCGGTGGATACAGCGGCAGACGTTAAGGAGCTACACGGACAGAAAACAACTGCCGCCCGGCCAGCTCACTTTCCCAAGTCCGGAAACGCCAGAGTGGGAGGACGACGGTTTACCCCCTCGGAGGAAAAACTCTCTTGGGTCTATATGCAGCACAATGGCTACACATTTGTGGCCACTGGTTAGTTATGCGTAAATTTGAAGGGTTGCAAGCGACGGTTGCTTCTCAATGAACCAACACAACAGCGTTTCCCGCGTTGTGTCGGATGCGTTGGTTTTCTATTCCAAGACACACCGGTTATTTTAGGTGGGTGGTAAGTTATCTTTTATGTATTATCGCACCCGAAGCAACGTCCTCCCGGAAACTTTAGTAATACATAATGGTGTTTTAGAGTCTGTAAAATGTTTGCTATAGTTCGTCCCAGTAATGTTTAAACTCGGTCATATTTCAGATAGTGTCAAGCCGCGATGAGACGGAGTTAACATTAAACAACCCTCACGAAGTCACATGGTCACTTGTTGATGACGTTAGGTTCAACGTAATCCTTCTGGGACAAGTTTTTTTTTAATCATTTTATGCTTTTAAAAATACCAGTGGAGTAAAGTGTATTTTCAGTCCAAGAGCCTTTTTTTTTTTTTTTTTTTTTTTTTTAGATAAGATATGTATGCATTTGTTTGTTTTGTTTTATTGAGCAAATTTCCGTCCCAAAACTAAAAAATATTTTTTATTTGAACACTGCCAGATTGTCATTCAAAATCACTAAAAAAAACTTGTGTGAAAAAGTAATAATCAAAACTCCACAAAGTGAAACAAATCACATGTTCTGGTTTTTGACATTATTTTAACATTTATATTTTATTTGTATAAACTTTTTTTGCATTTAATTTCATATAGGCCTGGTTCTTTTACTTTTGTCCTTATTATTATTATTATTATTATTTACAATTGCTTCTGTTTGTGCCAGCTGTTCATGCTTGATAAACATGTGTGTTTATACTATATTTGGTAAATAATATAAAAAAAAGTTATTTCGTTTTGTTAGAGAAATTATAATGAAAACCTAAATTCCCTGTTTTGCACATTGAGAAAGAAAAATGAATCAAGTTTACAATTTATGCTGTAGCTTATTTTTAATTGCACAGTACCAAACTTTAGACATTAGAAAGTTGGAATTTAAGACAAACAGTAAAAACTAAAATTAAACAAAAAACAAAACAAAAAACACTTGCTGTGCAAAATATAAATTATTTTTATTTTACCAGTTAAAATATTGTATGAAAACATTTATTGATCTTATGTTTCTAGTCAAAAGCCCAAATTTCACATAAAAAAGTTTCACAACAGAACAACATAAAAAAACTGTCTCAATATAGAAATAATTTCTACCTAATCTGTGTAAACATAAACAGATTAAATATGAAACAAAAACAACAATTTGAGCAACAACATACATTTCACTTCAGTTTATTTATATAGCACCAAGCCACAACAGAAGTTATCTCAGGGCACTGAACAGAAACATTCACAAACTGTATATAAAAAAGCCAATTAGTAAAGTTGTCTATCTAAGAAGCAGCAGATTGCATTGAATCTTCACTTCATCGCAGTCTTCCATAAACAAATGTCTATTATGAGTATTATTACAATGTATACCTGAAATTCTAAATACCTAAAGCTGTACAGGAGCCATAAACCGGCTTTAAATGTTCTTTAATTTTTATTTTATTTAATTAATTCATTTATTTATTTACATTTTATGCTTGAACAGAAAGTAGACTAGCACCCTCTAGTGGCAGCCAAGAGTATTCTTTCTTTCTTAGAGTTTTTCTCCACTGTGCATCATTGGCAGTATTATTAGGTAGATAAACATGGATTTAAATAATTAAACTATTTCCTCCACTTCACATGGTCTCCCATCTGGTCATGTGGACACTCCTGCAGTGTCCACACCAGGTTTTGTTCATCCAGGCAGGCGGCGTTGGATTAAACTTTGCTAAACTGCATAATAAAATGCAACAAAAGACTTGAACTGAAACAAACATTGGTGGTTTTTGACACATTACCTGTGTTTCATGTTCTGTTTTTATCGTTTATCCTTGTTTTAAACTTTATCATTGACCACTGGAGTCAGGAGGGAGTGCTGAAGCAGAGGTTAGAGAAGGTGGGCCTGTGATCGTAAGGTCTCTGGTTCAAATCCCTCTGACTGTATCAAAATGTGGATGGGAAAGGTAAAGCACCCATATCTGCCTCCATCCTCATTCGTCCCATTCTGTGCCCTGGGCGCCCCAGCTGGCCCCACCCCTGCACCACACATGAGGGTTGTTATAGCTCGATCGTCTGTCGTTGCATCAGGCAGAGCAATTGGTGGAAACGAGTTGCCAAATTTCTCAGTGCGTTCGCTTACTGTGGTGACCCCTAAAGGACGGAGCAGCCAAAATTAAATACACATGAAGTGTTGGAATCAACAGCTCATGTTGTTTTGATAAATCTTATGAAACCAATTTCAAATTGCAAAGAAATCGAATGAAAAGCCGACAGAACAAATCAGTATCGCCTCAGTGCTGAGGACATGAGCTGATCTACTTGTGTTACAGCCAGTTGCTGTTTGCGTTTATATAACTAACCTGCAACCTTTTGGTTCAGAAGATACTATTCTAACCTTTGTGATGGTTGTTTGAGCCCACGGTATACTCCGATAATGTAAGTCGGAGAAAGAAGCCAAAAAGAAGCTGAAGGTTGAATATTTGTGGTATGTTGAGTCAGGTGCTCTTTTAGGGAGGGGGGGATTTATTTCCTCCTGAACGGTGTAGTGAGCACGAGGGGTCACATGCGTTGCAGCCTGAACAGTCCACAGCCAGGAGGCATCATCTCTGGGAAAACCACCACAGCTGACAATGACTCTGTATTCAGAGGAAAGAATCTTGACTCCTTTAGTAAAGCAAACCCATAAATTTAAAATTTAAACGTACAGAAGCACAGTATGTCATGAGTATTTATATAGCTTTACATTTCACTTCTCTTCAATATTTACTTTGTGAAAGTCGATTAAATAAGTACATTTTATTATGATTTTGCTTCTTACAACCCCAATTTTGAACAGTTGGAGCATTATGTAAAATGTAAATAAAAACTAAATAATGTGATTTTCAAGACTCAACCAGGTGTTATTCACATGGTGAACATGTCAAATGGTGAAACTAAGAATTTAAACACAATGTTATGTTGAATTTATGGCAGCAACACACCTCAAAGTGTTGAGATCGAGTCATGCTTGCTGCTGTGGAGCACCCCTGGGAGCTGAGGTGACCAGCTGGAGGTTCTGGAGGGGAATCATGTCCTGTTCTTTTCTAATGGAGGATTTCAGCTGTTCAACGGTCTCCTTTGCTGAGCGTTTATTTTTGTTTGTTTTGTAATGACCACTGAAGATAGAGTCATGGGCTCCCCCGTGGTAAAGTGGGTAAAAAGTGTGGGTGGAGGATGCATCAAATGTTTTCAACTGGAGAGAGAAGTCTGGACTGCAGGCAGGTCCGTTCAGCACCTGGACTCTTCTAAAGCCACGTTGCTGTAATGGATGCAGCATGTGTTTCTGCATCGTCTTGTGGAAAGATGCCAAGTCTTCACTGACTAGATGTCATTTGGAAACACATGATGGTCTGCAACCTGCGGCTCTGGAGCCACATGCGGCTCTTTGGTCCCTCTGCAGCAGCGGCTCTTTCAAGCTTTGACCAAAACTGACATAAAACTGAATTTTATCGGTTGTTATACAAACAACAAAAAAAGGACAAATACAAACAAATTTCCTGTCGTTTCTTTTGCAAATACGTGAACACTGGAGCGAGTAAAAGGAGTAAAACAGACTTTAACTTTATGATTTATTTCTTTATATGAACAACTGTATGCATAGATTTTATTTTATTTTTTTAAATTGTAAAAAAATAAACGACCCTCCCCTCTTTACAAGAATCTGACCTTTTACTTTAATAAATGTGAAAAATTATTATATATTTTTTGCTTTATAATGTTGTTCCTACTGGCCACAAAAGTCCCCTACAGCAAACCTAAAGTGGCCCATGGGCCACCAGTTGATGACCACAGTTGTAGCAGGTTGTTGCGGCTCCGGACACGTTTAAATTAGTGAACGAAGGCAAAAAATGTCTCTTTTTAAAGGCTGCTCTAAAACTTGTATACCCCTCCAGAACATGTTTGCTTAATTTTAGTTTGTTTTATTTCATTTACAGTTTAACATTGATTTATTTTTATATTAGTGGTTTAGATTTTTCTGCCAAACCTTTTATATCTTCATTGGCGTTGTTGTTTCTCCACAGAGAGTACACCTGAACTGGATGGTTAATGTCTTTGTTGCTTTCCTGTCCTCTCGTTTTCCCCACGAGGCAGACGGCTGCTCGTCCTGAGCCCGGCTCTGCTGGAGGTTTCCTTTTCTTCCTCCACGAGTTCATTTTTCCATCTATAAATCGCTCCTTGGTCTGTTGCCTTCTTATATCTCCTCCCACATGTCACGTCGTCAGTGCAGTCACAGCGTGCGCTCTCAGGCCATCATTACCTGCAGCGTCCTCTCAGTGCGTTTTGAACTCAGCAAAAAGGCCTTTTCTTACTCTGCTCCTGCTTCCTGGAACACCTTACAACCGTCCACTTTGATTTATTTAAGGGATTTTACATTTTTTACAATGTTAATAAAAATATCAAGGCAAACATGTTCTTGTTTTAAGTATTTTACCTCGTTTTAAATCTTAATTTGACTGTTTATAACTGCTTTTATTTGCGTTTTGTTGAATTATTGTCTTTTTTATATCTGTCTAAAACAGGTCTCTCTTGTAAACGAGTCCTCGTGACCCAATGAGACTAACCTGTATAAATAACGGTTGAATGAATGAGCATTGGTTTGACCTTTGAGCCTGTGAGCGGCAGCAGCCTAAGGTGGGCCGCAGGATGTGGAGCAACGTGCGAGGAAATGAAAAGATGCTTTTGAACGAGCGCCCACGCTCTAATCTTGTGACATCCATGCTGTAAGGTCAAACTTCACATTCAGTTGTGCTTTGTTCACGACATCACGTACATATTTTTTACTGACTGAAACTATTTGCTGTGTTGCCACATGCGTTCTCGAGGCTTTCTGTTCCCAGGATTTCATTTTTGAAGGAGTGTCAGGTTCTTTATCCAGCTTTTTGTTTCTGGAAATTATCATTCCATAGTCTGAGCACTAGTTTCCAAATAACTAGTAATTAAAATAAATTCTAAATTAGAATAAACAAAAAGTGCCAATATTTGGTTTGAATGTGTCTAACCAGTAAAAATAAACTGCTCCCGTCACAATCGAATGAGATATTGAAAGATTTTGCAAGATCTGTATAGCTATTTTTGTGTTTGATAACTGTGCAGGTCATTTTGGTATGGCTTAACCATTTGTAGATGTGCATTCATGGATCACATTCAGAGAGTTTCATTAAAATGCATCTAGTGGTTTATGAGATATTCTGCTAACAGACAAATGCAGTTAACTCCAATAGTTAATAGTAAACTTATAAAACCAGATCGCATGTGATCAGTAAGTGCTCAGAACATGCGTTGAGCAATCATCTCTGTCGCAACACCAACGTTTAGCTCAGTAGCTGTAAAATTATAGTTACATTTGGGATAGCTAAGTTTACTTAGCTGTGGAGGCCATCTTGAACTGAGGCAACTCCAAAATGTAATCAGCTGTACATGTTCTTTCAGTGAATATTTTCTGAATGTTTCATTGAAATCATTTCAGTATTTCTTGAGATATTTTGCTAACAGACAGACAACAAGCACAAACACTCACGTTATTGTTCATTTTTCATGGTGGCGGGCAACAACAGCGAAGTTCTGACTAAACAGACAAAACCGAGGGGAGGTCCCAGTCTGCAGACTCCCTGTGATGTCAGAGGCCTGAACACAGTTTATGGTAATTCAGGTCCAGGAGTATTTTAAAAAGACTGAGCGGGGTTGAGGTCTGTTTGGAGGTTTGTTCAGGACAGCGGGATCTGGACTCAGAGGGGAAACAGAACTGAACCCAGGATGAGATCTGTGGCGCTGCTAGTTTTGGCCTTCACGTCAGTGGTGGCAGTAGGTAAGCAGATCTGACTTTAAAAACAAACAAACAAACAAACAAACGTTCATATCAGCTGTTCAACGGGTGAATCGCAGGACAAAACAAACGTTGTTGGGGTTTATCTTCAATTAGCGGCTAAAAAAAGGAAATATCAAAACAAAACTGGACATTTTTTAAAATTTAAATAAGTATTTTTCTGTTTTTGTTTATCTCAAATCACCTGCAACGAACCGTTGTTTATAAATTATCGTTTTGTTTTTGCTTTCTCAAGATTTTATTACGAAATGCTCAAATCTTTTTTAAATTTTTCTTTTTTCCTCTGTGTCTTTGCATCAGAATTGATTAAAACCAGGGATGTAGATTACTTAGGATAAACACAAGTAACATAAACTAACACGACATTGTGTTTTTTGTTTGTTTATTTTTGTTTATTTATGGTTTGGACCACAAATCGAACAACAAACAGTCAGATCCGTTGCTTCGCGCTCACACACTCAACACTTTGAGAGCAGAAAGAACGGAAACAAAACTCGACGATCTGATTTTCCGCCAATAAAACATTATTTTATTATTTTGATTTAAAATCATTTTGTGATTTATGACTAATAGCTCCAAACGGTGACGAGAAGAAACGTAAAAGCCACTGATCGTGTTAAAGTGAGTGTGTTTATGTAAAAATGTTGGATTTTTTTGGAGCAGATTTGGTTGTAGCTGAATCTGGGAGCCCTCGCACCTCACACTGGGGTTACTGGTGCTCAGCTGAGAGTCACATGAAAAGGATTGAGGGGGATTTTGGTCCGTGTGACTCCCACCGCCAAGAACCTTCACACCCTTTACTCCCATCAACTAACGTTCACATTTATAATGTGAAAAACTTGGAATCCAACCAGTTTCTCAGTCATTTACAGATAAAACATGAGTTTCCCAGCATTTTCTACTGGTTGCTCCATTTTTTTTTGTCCTTAACTTTACATCTTTTTCTGCAGGACAGAGAAGTCAGTTCACACGCTACCGACAATGGAACCCCCGGATGTATCCGGTTTGGCAGGACGGAGACCCAAGGTTCAGAAACTGTTGGTTTGGTGAGACTCGTTTGCTTCTTTGCGTTAAAAAGAACGCCGTTTCTGCCAGTTCGTTTAAAACCCGATTAAACCGTGTTTACGTTTTCCAGGTGGTGAGGTGACCTTTGACCTTAAGAATGATGCGCCCACTCTGACAGGAGCCAGATCAACGTTCACCATCAACCTTAATTTCCCACCAAACCAGACGGCGCTGCCCGACGGCGAGGTGGTGTGGGCACAAAACTGCACCGTCAACGGTGAGGAAAGATCGAGACCAAACAAGATTCATGTGATCGATCGATTCACTGGTCATCAGTTTTATAAATAAGTGTTCGTTACAACAAACTGACAAATCAAAAACGTGTCTAAATCGTTCACTCCTACGTATGATGATTATTTAAAAAAAAAAAAAAGACAAATTTGATTAAGTGTTGTATTTATTAAAACCTTTTCAGAAAATAAACCAGTAAAACCAGTTTTATTCCTAAAGTTGTGATCAAAATGTCTTTGTTCAGGACGTCAGTACCAGGAGGGTCAGGCTGTGTACCCAGACCAGACCTCTGAGTGGACCGGAGTTTTCCCTGACGGCACGCCGTTCACCAGGACCCAGAACAGGAAGCCCCGCTACGTGTTTGTGTGGAAAACATGGGGTAAATCTGAACACATGAACAAATGCTGCAACACAACATGTACATTGTAGCAACATTGTTTTATTGCACTTCATAACTTTTAAATGTATGATAACCACACAGACAAAGAACAAACCATAAACGTGGTTTTAAACTGATAATTTAACTTGAACAGTATAGTTTGAATATTATCATAACAATAAAACAGTTTTTTTTTTAATCCAGTTGTTTTTTCTAAAAATAAAATTTGAGTTTAGAGTCAAACTAGAGATGGATTTAATGATCACAAAACAGGATTTCAGTCTCTTGAAAACTGGACAATATTTTGCGTTGGTGGTATAGTGGTTAGCATAGCTGCCTTCCAAGCAATTGACCCGGGTTCAATTCCCGGCTAACGCATTCAATTTAGGGGCGGCTGTGGCTGAGTGGTTAGAGCAGTCGTTCTCCGATGCAAGAGTTGGGGGTTCGAATCCACCAGCAGTCACATGCCGAAGTGTCCTTCCGGAAGGCTTCATCAGTCAAGGAAACACGCAACAAAACTGATTCTTCCCCCAACAGCTTACTCCAAAGTGGAACAAACCAGTTCTGCTTGTGACCTGACTGAAAAATGTTGGATTGTATACCTGGATTATTGAGCATGGACTTTGTTGTTTTCAACCAGTTTTGACAAGACTGTCAACAAGGAAGAGGGCCGGCAATGGAGGAGGGGCGTATCAAAGAGACCATCTTATCACAAGCAGAACTGGTTTGTTCCACTTTGGAATAAGCTGTTGGGGGAAGAATCAGTTTTGTTGTGCGTTTCCTTGACTGATGAAGCCTTCTGGATTGAAGGCGAAATGTTTCAGCTCAAAAAAAATCTGTCCAGATGACCTGACTGAAAAATGTTGCATAATTCAATATCTTGTTTGATTTATTGGCACTTGTAGTATGTGTTGTGAAAGGTTCTCAACTACTAATAAACCATATTTTAGCTCAATATCTGCAGAAGTGACTGAATTACAGCCATTTATGTGCCAGCTAAGGTAGATTAGCTGTGGTAGCTATCTTTAATTGGCTTGATTTACAAAGTTAATTAGTTGGAGATTATCATCTAATAATTACTTTTTGAAAGTTTCATTAAAATCCATCCAGTGGTTTATGAGATATTTTGCTAACAGACAAACAGGCTCAACGCCAACAGTTAATCTCGAGCAAAGATGTTTCAAAATATGTTGTTCTTGAAGTACGTGTTGGGGATGATGCTCAGCTACTACCACACCAAAATGTAGGTACTTATTTGTAAAACTGGCTGAGATGTAGCCTTTTTTGTCTTTGTTAGTCAGTTTTGCCAAAAGCTAATTGGTTGTAGATCACATGCAAGGATCACATTCAAATTCATCCAGTGGTTTATGAGATATTTTGCTAACGGACAGACAAAGTTCATTCCAATAGTTAATGGCAAAGTTATAAAAACAGACCTCATATGATCAGTTCGTACATGGAGTGTCCGTTGGGGATCAGTCTCGTGTAATACCACACCAAGTTTTAGCTCGATGTCTAAAATTTACTGAAGTATAGCCATTATTTTGCTAACGGTACTAACCGTACAAACAAATACACACACACAATAAATAAAAAGCGAGAATTTAAGCAACATTTCCAGACCATGAGGAGATTTATACTGTTTGTGGTTTTGATTCTGTTTTTGAGGCCGGTACTGGCAGGTTGCAGACGGGCCGTCCTCCTCTCTCTCCATCGGAACAGAAAATGTCCCACTGGGCTCCTACAACATGGAGGTCGTCATCTATCACTGCCGAGGAAGAGACAAGTTCGTCCCCCTCGGCTACGCCTCCACGGTCTTCACCATCACAGGTAGCTGTGTCCTCTACGCTCTAAGCTTCGGGAAGTTTATCCTTTTTTTTCCCTTTAGTAAATCTCTTAACGTCTCAGCGTGTTTTTCTGTCATTAGATCAGGTTCCGTTCCAGATTTCACTTTCTCAAGTCAACGATGTCAACCAGAACGACCAGAACTTCATCCAGAACCAAGCCATTGCCTTCGCCGTCACACTCCACGATCCCAGCCAGTACCTGAACAGCGCAGACATCAGCTTCAGCTGGGACTTCGGTGACAACAGTGGGACGCTCATCTCTAGAGAGCGCACCGTCACACACACCTACCTCTCAGTGGGAACCTTCAAACCTCAGGTGGTCCTGATGGCGAGCATTCCCAACTCCTGTCAGAACCCTACAGCTGGTAAGAACTTTAAATGATCGTTTTCTAAATGTTTTAGCATACAGTGTGCTGCTTTTCTGAATCATTTCACCTTTTTTTTCCCAGTTGCACCTGTTGATGCCTCTGCGGCTCCAGCTGTGGTTGTCGTGGCCTCCACCCCTGCAGCTGCATCACCTGAGGAAGAGGAGGGGATCGCTCTGGATGTTCCTGCCTCCGATGCCACACCAGTCGCTGCTTCGGTGCAGCCCCCTGAGGAGGAACCCGTTGCCATCAACACAGACACAGAGGCTGTAGAGGTTGCCTCAGTGGCTCCTGCAGGAGTGGATGCAGCTGTTGTCCCAGCAGAGCAAGATCCTGCCGACACAGCTGGAGAAGCAGCTGCTGCTGAAGAGACCGACGCTGCTGCGGCTGAAGAACCAGAGGCTGTTGAAACAGCTGCTGAAGATGTGGCAGATGCTGAAAACGTGCCTGTGGTTGATGCTGCTGCCTCAGCTGCTCCTGCTGCAGAGGGTGAAGAAGCTGCAACTGAGGGGCTTGACGATGCCGTCGTTGCCCCTGAGGCAGACGTAGCCGAAGAGCCGGAAGCTAATGATGCTTCTGTAGAATCTGCCGAGGCTACGTCTGTCGTCACTGAGGTGGTCCAAGCTGAAACTGAAGCACCTGCAGGTGACGTTGTTGCTCTCGCTGCCACTGAGACGCCAGGAGAGGCAGCTCAAGCTGATACCGAGACCGAAAACGCTACTGAAGCCGCCACAAGTACAGATTCCCCACTACAAACTACAACCCTGTGCAAAGAGAAACAAAATCACTCATAGTTCTCTCGCGCAGGTGAAGACGACGCTGCTCCAGTTGAGGGTGAGGTTCAGGCTGAAGCAGAAGCAGCTCCATCTCAGGCTGCCCTGGTTGTGGTCAAAAGACAGGCGCCGGAGCTCACGGCCGACTGCACCATCTACCGCTACGGCTCCCTCGCTACATCGGTGGATGTTGTTCGTAAGTGTTGTGCCACTTTGTGTGGCGCACATCACAATTCTGCACAGACAATAAAGATATTTAATAATGCTTTGCTGTTTTTGTGTTCTTGAACCCTGCAGAGGGTATTGAAAGTGTGGAGATTGTTCAGGTGGCCAATGTCGTGTCAGTGGCGACTGCGTTGGATCAGAACGCAGTGGATGTCACCATCTCCTGTCAGGGAAGGTGGGTACAAGCTTTCTTCATGTAGCTGGAGCTAGATTAGCTAATTATCTATCACTACACCTCTATCATCCATTAAGGTCTTGTGTTCTCTGTTTTTCTACTATAAACTACACCTGAACCAACCCTTCTGTGTTTACCTGTCTCTTCCCTGTCCTCTCATCCCCCAAACGTTCAGGACAAAAGGGCCACCCATGATATTTGACTTCTTTTACCTTCTTTGTTTTAAAAGAATATGTGAAAACCTTTACCATCTTATCAGCTTCACAACCTTGACCTCTTCTCCCAATGTCTCCATCTCTCTCCCGACTGTAGTCTGCCAAGTGAAGTGTGCACTGTCATCTCTGATGCCGACTGTGTCACACCGGTACAAACCATCTGCAACGCAGCCTCGCCCTCTCCAGACTGTCAGATGATCCTTCGTCAGTTCTTCAACGAGACCGGAGTCTTCTGCCTCAACGTCTCACTGACCAATGACGTCAGTCTGGCCATGGCGAGCGCTAGAGTCAATGTAGCAGTGGGTGAGTGAGATAAAAGCAAACATTCACAATAATTTGTTGTAAAAGTGTATTTTTTTATTTAAGTGATGCCATTTCCATTCGTTTCAGCCTCTGGTGGTTCACCAGCTGGAACTGCTGCGACTGTGCTGGGTGTTATGGTCCTCGCTTGCGTTGTTTGTTGTTTGGGTTTGATGTATAGGTAAGTGACTAAGTCAAGGAAGTGACCAAAAAATAAAAACTTTTAATACTAGAAATATAATGAAAAATTTACAAGTTAATAACGTATTCAAGGTATTGAAATTACGTTTTAGTCAAAATCAAAGTTTTTAAAGAGATCTGTGTCTCTTTTTTGTTGCTTTTTATAGCTTCTTGAACACAAGTTACAATCTTCTCACTTTTTATAAACGTGGGACAGTAGTCCCTCGTTTATTGCGGGGGATCCGTACCCTGAAATCCCGCGATAAGTGCAAAACCATGAAGTAAGGATAGTAGTACAAGTAGTAATTAGTAGGGATGTGCAATATGTTATAAAATTCATATCCCAATATCTATTGTGATGGGTGGCGGTAACAATATACATCATGATATGTTTTTGGTACAAAACTTGCAATAGGAATGGGGAAAAAAAAGCATCGGGTCTCATTTTGCCAGTTTCCTCAGTGGCTTTAACCAGACAGGGTCTCGCAATAAAATCACACAACACAGCATTCTTGTCACAGATCAGAGAGCAGGTTTAACCCTTTTTTAAGCACAAATGCACTCTCTAAAACTGACCAATGCTTACTTTAACTTTTGATGGAACACGGCATTTTGCGCATGCGTCCGAATACGGCAACAGTATGGCAAGTTAGCGTGTAGCTTCACTACATAGCTCTCGAAGAAAACAGACTTTAACACCATATACGCACAGTTTTCAACTCAAAAAACGTAACGGTTAAATCTGACAACTCTGATTTTACTTCAGACACAGCATTACTGCAGTTAGCCGGTAGAATACAGATCTCTATCATAGACTAAATGTCTATCGTTCCTACCGTGTATCACATATATCGCGCATTCCTCGTGAGTAGCAGTTTATTTTAGTGTGTATATATATATATATATATATATATATATATATATATGAAGGCATTTAAAACCCTTCCCACACTCTTGCAATGTTCTAAACAATGTTTCTAAACTCTAAACGCTCTAAAAGATCACAGCATGTCATGATCTCAGCTCTCTGCCTCTGACTGCACTCTGCCATCTGCCAACACTCTCGGCCACGCCCACTTCTCCGCTGCAGAGCGGAGATATGACAGGCTACAGAAGGAAGCTTCTCCTGCAGCTTGGGCTGCACACAGTGCTACATAATTTAAAATAATGTATTTAAAATAAAAATTCCATGCTGATCTTGCGGCTCATCCATCAGTCAGTCAATTGTGTGTCGTGTCCAATCTCACTTTGAAAAACTGCGATAGAGCGAGTCCGTGAAAACGAACCGCTAACTAGCGAGGGACTACTGTAGTAGAAAAAACTTTATTTGCATATTATAATTGCCAGAAAAAAACTAGGATGATTTGGAAGCAGTGAATGAGTCAACATTAGAAAAATAAAAATCTGTGATTGACCAGCTAAACTAAATGTTCAGTAGTATATAATTTACTACAAGAAAAATAGGGCAGTATTTGGCAAATAAAAAAGCCATCAGGCAATAAAGCAGAACACCTTAAAATTTATTGAAATCAAAATTCAAATACTTCCCTGCCTTTATTTTATTTCAAATAAACTAATTAATTTTCAATCTTTGTCAAGTCTCCATGGTATCACAGTATTAAACTAAACTTGCCTACAGGGTTGTAAAAACTTGGTTTTAAGCCAAACACTGTTTTAAAATCTGAACTAGGCAAAGAAGTATGACATCAAGAACAAAACATGTGTTTTAATTCATAAATAGAGAAATTTTATTTAATCTCACTGCAAAAAAAAAAAAAAAAAATAGTGACTTTAGACTCTGGAAACTGAGTTTCACCTAAACATGTAATATCAGTTCACATGTATTATTTTAAAGAACATTTCTTTGAGCATGACTAAACTAGTTTAAATTCTATCTTTGATCAGAACGCATTTGCCGACGGTTTTGTTTTAGTTGGTTCCAGGCTTTTAATCAATGATGATAGAAGATAAAATCTCCTGTCTGTGTGAACTCTCGTTGAAATACTTTCTCTGCGACGTGTCTCTGACTAGGCGGTTTAAGCAGTACCAGCCTCTGAGGGACGAGCACGCTGCCGAGGACGAGGGACGATTCTTTGTAACGTCGGTGCCTTTGCTGCTGTGGAACCTGCTGAGTCGACATTCACCAGGAGAAAGCCGTCCGCTTCTTCAGGGAAGAATTGTTTAAAAATAAGTAGTAAAAATGTAAAACGTCTGCTAACATATCAACTTTATATATAGATGTATGTAGTGGTTTCATCACCGAGGGTCTTCACACCATGTTCTACATATGGACAAATCAGGAATTGTTTCTGTAACACTATAAAATAAATTGTCCTATTATAATTGGTACAAATAATAGCAACCATGATATATGTTTGTGGCCTGTTTACACTAAACTTAAAGGTATTTCAATTTACCTTCCTTCAGGATGAAGTTTCACAGAAATATATTAGGTGTGTGACTTTGAAATGAATAAATGGGCCTTTGTCTCCATCATGTGCTTCTCTGATGCGTTTGTCTCAAGGCACAGTCACAGGATTTCACATCACCAGCGGCTCAAAATGCCTGAAACTGAACATGCTTTGGGTTTAAGCACTTTGACCTTTTTTAACATTAAAAGGTCAACTCGAGAGTTATGGGAGTAATAACTAGTGATGTAAAAGACAAGACAAAAACATCCAGTGTTCACCAGTATTTTGTTTGTAATTTAAAAGTGGAAGCAAATTCTCTGCAGCGGTTTTAAGTTATAACAAGATTATTAATCAATGGGTAAAAGCAGCATCATTCCTGTGATGATAAATAATATTTCACTTAACGGTAGACCAGTTTAGTTTAGTTTTGTGTTTCCTACTGGACAGGATGAGCAGAAATCATTACAACCCCCCTTCAGGTAGGTTCAGTCATTGCAAATATTATTAAAGCATATTTCAGTCTGAACATGACTTCATTTCTGGAAAACTAAGTCAACTCTATAAAAACATTAATTCAACAGCATTTCTTTCATTTAAACCCCAGTGACATTCATATGAAATACAAGCGATGCAGAAAGTGTCGAGTCTGTTTCTTTCATTGTTCAACCATTGTTGTATCTTTTACAGATAAATCCCAAGAATCTCTTTGTGAAATTATTATAAATCTTCTAAATAAATGGTAAACACATCCCAATATGTGGATCGACTGGCTGCATGATGTACTTTCTGAATTTGCAGTAAGATTTGTTGGAAAATAATTGGACCTGATGCATTTGACCATAAATAAATAAATAAATGAAAACAACTATGTTACAGCTGCTTTACAGAATTAAATAAATCTTGGACACAGAATGAAATGTTAGATTTACTGATGCAACCACTTCACCGTTTTATTTCACAGTTCTTGATATAAAAGCTAAGAGCTGTATTACAAAAGTGACTGAAAAAGAGGGCGCAACTAAGTGTCGGTGCTAATATTTGTTTTGTATCCTGCAGTTGGTGCTTTCATGTTTTTATTACTGTAAATTTAATTATACAAGTAAGAAAATGTAGGTTATGTTTAGCTAAATGTTTAACTGTGCAGAAATTGTGTACGTATTCCCAAAGCAGAAAAGTACATGTCGTATTAATACGTTTCTCACTACGTCTGGCATTGCTGCATCAAAATTATCTTAATGAATTTCAATAACTCGCTAAAGATTTCGGTAAATTAGGAGTTTATTAAAAATGTTTCAATACCTATCAGGGATTATTTACAACACCACAGCATATACGGTGTTAATCACAGCACTGTAAGTTTTAAATAACTGAGTCCAGTTTAATGTCTATAACGACAATTTTTGAGTGTAAAATAGCAGAAAACGTAATGGAAATAGTAGGTTTGGTCAGATTTGCATTAAAGTACCCCATATTTCACATTTAGAAAACATTCAACATGTTTAGCCACGCTGAGAGGAATGAAATGCACGTTTAGCAGTAGCATGTTGACTTGTGGTAATGCTTTATGATTAGTGTAACATGATGTATGACAGCCTCACCCTCACCGTTGCGCACTGCACTGCAGGAATAAAGGCTGACGTCACTGCAGCAAATTCTTTCATGGAATAAGCTACAGCCGGCCCAACAAGGACAAAGACAGGCAGCGATGGGGGGGAACGAGATGTTTTAATCGCATTTAAAAAAAATTCTGGTTTTAGGAATTCCTTATTTAGCGGTTTTTCCTCTTTACCTCTGCTTTATTTAAATAGCAGGAAATAAGTGATGATTTAATATTGTTGTATCTTTCTAAACTAAACCTGTGAGGAAACCAAGAGGGCTTTTGAAATGACGTGTTACGACCCTCCACATGAACAGACCTGTGTAACACTGCCGCACACTCTATTATAGTAATTGTCAGACATGGCCATTAATCACTTCCGTCTATTAATTTGTCTCTTGGCCACATGTACCATCTTTGTTCACTCCTGACGGCCCAGCAGCTCTTCTGGGAGGTCATCATTTTAAAAAAAGATCATCTCTTTCTCAGCCCCGACAGTGCTTTATCCAGTCACAGAAAGCAAACCATTTTTTTTTTTTTTTCAGATGACCAGCCGTTTTTGAGCTTTTGTTGTGACTGCGGGCAGTAAAAGTGGATATGAGTCACTAAAGGGGGCATATCACCCAGGAAACCACACAGCTCTGATGAGCCTGTTCGACTTGTGTTGCTCGCCACTCCCTGGCAACAAATCTTTAAAGGATGTAATTACTTTCATCTGTCCTCAGCACTGCAGAAACCTTTAAAAAGATGTCATGATAACTAACCCTGCTGCCAATAATCAGAATATATGCCATAGCAGAGTTCCTCTCTAACACAATTGCTCTAATCATTGCAGCGGTCAGACATAAAACACAAATCTGTGAAAAATCCAGTGGAGGAATAATTTAGGAATAATGCTTGTTCCAACAATGTTTCTCAATCAGGTATAAAGAGTAAAATATTAGTAAATATTGTGGAACAGCACAAACAGAAATCATTCTCTGCAGTCTTAACTAGACCTGTCACGATAACAAATTTTGCTGGGCGATTGTCTCAGAAATTATTGCGATAAATGAGAATATTGTTTGAAATTTGACAATAATTAGTAATTATTGTCAAATTTAAGAAGAAATGTTTAATTTGTTTTGAGTGTAGTACCTTTTTTTGAACACCAAATGGCAGTATAAGACTGCTTGAACTGAAGGATGGATAGTGAGGAAGCGAGCAGCGTGTCTCTTTAAGAAAAATGGGAAGGGAGCCCCTTGACGTGACATGTGCTGTCTCTCTTGGGTTCTTAAAATGGCAGACGCTCTGTGTGGTTTGAGCTCTTTAGCATAGCATTTTGCACACAGAGCTTTTAATTACAAAAAAAATTCAATAAACAAGTTCTCAGCTTCTTTTTGCAGAGAAAAACTTTTTACAAGAAGGCATGTATGAGTGTCCTTTATATGAAACAAGGATGTTTCGTGGGTTTTTTTTTTTCTGATCAAGCCAAAGTATACCAATTTCTTATAGTAAAGCTTCACTTTGAACTTTTTTTTTTTTGCATAAATGTCACAATGTTTTTATCGAAAGATTCAAACACAAGCAGGTCTCCAGAGGCAGATAACAAGGGAAAAGTTATTTTGTGTACAGCAAAATCAGGGCCGATGAAGGCAGGAAGTCCAAAAAACATAACCATCAAACAAACAGGTCATTTTGATAAAAGAGAAAGCAAAACATGGTGTGAGAAACACAAAACACCAGAAGGATAGAAAAAGAAACATCCTAAATACAGGGATACATACTGAGTAATAAGAGTTACATCCAACTAATTGAGCTAAGGAAATAAATGAAACTAGAACATTTCTGGAGACACTTTGACAGGGACTGCCATGTGGCAGCCATTTTAAAATGTTGATTTGACAGTACTAGTGTTTGGGTTCACTCTCGGCTACCACCATACAACATTTCAGCCCAATATGGCAAAAAAAAAAAGAGTTTTAATATATTTTTTTCTTTTAAGCTATTGTGGCCATCTTGGATTTTTGACTTGGATTCAGTATGTGATGGGAAACACTGGGTACTCCAGTTTTCTCCCACAGACCAAAAACATGCATCTTAGGCTGATTGGTAACTCTAAATTGTCCCTAGGTGAGTGAGAGAGTGAATGGTTGTTTATCTCGTTTGTCTCTATGTGTCCCTGTGATGGACTTGCAACCTGTCCAGGGTGTCCCCCGTCTCTCGCAAAGTGATAGCTGAACATGGGCACCGGCAACCCCAAAAAGGAAAAGGCGGGTAAAGATGATGGATGGATGGATGGATGGATGGATGGATGGATGGATGGATGGGTGGATGGAGAACGTTCTCAGCTACAACCACACCAAATTTCAGTTCTCTGTGTACAAATAGCTGAGTTAAAGCCATTTCAAATTAGCTTTGGCTGCCATATTTAATCTTTTATTTAAATTCATGATTTAGAGGCCATTGTTCTCAGATAACACTACACCAAATTTCAGCTCAATATCTTTTTAAATAGTTGAGTTATTTGTTTGTAAAATATGTCGCCATAGTAACTCGAAATGCCATTAAAAGTAATAGGACACGGTGCCAGACGGTCGTTTTGATATAACATTTGTGGGGGTACACATTGCGGTTCAGGCCGCCCTAAAGTTGATGGAAGTGCAAGACCCTTTTCAGGTGGATAATACCCCAACTTAAAAAGAATGCCAATTAAAAATACTAACAATAAAACTAATTCAAGCTCATTTTTAATCAAGCTTTGCAGAATCAAAACATCTTCGAAAATATCTAGTTTTTATTTTCAAGTCTTCAAAATGAAAAATTTGTACCAACTATGAAAATGACATTTATTTACGCTTTGAAATCTACATATAAGTCCAGCATTAATTGTTACCCGCTAAATGATGCTTAAACCTGTTCAGATCTTCAACAAAAACATCCAAATCGGATCAATAGAAGGTGACTCTCTTCTCCCCCATAATAATAATGTAATGAGATATGTTTATATCCCTCTTTTCTACTTGGGATATTTAAATGCCTGTTTATCTTTGAAATCTGACACACATACTGACTTTTTAGTCTTGAAATGGTAACAGATATTTCAGTGTCAGAGAAGCAAAATTGAATTCATGGCTCCTGTGGGAATTCATGGCGCAGCAGAAGGATCATTTGCTAATGGCGTCATCTGGCTGAGGGTTAGTGTTTCTCACCAGAATGAATTCAGAAAGTTGACCATCTTTTTCCATTTTTCTTTTGTTAGTTTTTACATGTAAATGTATGTTTTTACATCCCCTCTATCTGAAAATGGAGACGATATATATATATATATATATATATATATCTCTCTAAATATATAAATGTATATATATATATATATATGTATGTATATATTTCACTGAGGCCATAAAGGCGGGATGGAAAAAAAAAGATGGTGGTTTGTACAGAAAGACAGAGAGGAAGACGGAAGGAGTGAGACGAAGGGGGAGGGAAAGAGAGGAGAGAGTTACTGACCATAAAGCAGGTTGATTAGATTACAGAGCAATGTCTAACAGGCCATTTGTTACACAGAGAAACAGACCTCGTCTGTAGAAGTCATTTAGATTAAGGAGCAAATGTGCGTACGTATTAGTGAAAATGCCCCAAAAAAGACATTAGCATATTTTTCCTCCATGTGTGGGTTGCGTTGTGATGTGCTGCAGGAAGAACAAACCCAACGATAAACTCATGATAAAAATCGATCCTTGTAGACTGAAACATAAAAGGTAAACGCATACAGTACAATAAATGTTGATGTTTAGTACAAGAGAGAATGAATTTACCGACGGGACTAAAACCATCGAGCATCACTTGGGACACAAAGGGAGAGAAAGTGCCACGCCCAGTCGACGCAGAGCACACTGAACTACATGAACTTGGTGAAGGAAAGTCTACAGACCTCGGTTAAAACGACATGAAACTCTGACACATGCTAAAAGATGTGCTGCCTCACAGACTATCATCCATGTTTCAAATGACCTTTGACATGGCCATGCACCACGATCAGCTTTAACAGTCTGACAATATAACGAAAGACTTCAACCCACTGTTTGTTCAGGAGTTGCTGAGTAATGATTTATTCCTCCTTGTTTATTATTGGCTTCAAACTGCCCTGGTTGTTGTTCTATATGTTATAGAAAGCTATTTTAGCAACCTAAGTTTGGAGAAAAACTGTTCAGTTCTGACCAGACTGACGAGCTAACGGCTAGACTGAAGAGACTAAAACCAAAAGTGGATTGCTTTCATCTTAAAACAATGCCAATCATAAATAAATGAATAAATAATGAAATGGTTCCAATAAGAAAATCCATTTTGTTGTTATTCTGATAGAAATATTATGATATTGCTGCTGAAGTGCCCCAGGCTGCACTCAGAAGCTCCAGCTAGCTGCTGCTGCTCTGAGCGTGCAACCAACCATCTGATTCTATGTAAATAACAATGTACTGCAAAACTGATGGCAGTGTAAATTATTTTTAATGGAGCATGCACTTCTATATTTTCTGAGATAAGGGTCATTTAAAAATGCCAACATTCCACTGTTAGGGAATTTTTGGTCAAAGTTTATGGCTGAGAATAACTCTGCCCATGAACCATATGTTTGGGTTTGCAGAGATAGCTGGATGAGGAGCTGGACGAGGACACAATGTGCAGATGTTGCACCAAGGACGCCTCCGAGTCTGTGAGCTCGGCTGAACTGATAAGAGCATAAAAACAAGCTTCACACATGGCCCGAGGCAGATTCTTGTGACTGGGCTTCATCCGTGTACTACATGTATATTTGTGTAACCTGTCGTGAACATCTGTCCTTGCAAGTAAAAAAACAGTTTAAAATCTTCTCCTGTCGTCGAGTGCGGCTTCTTTTGAGTAAGTGAGATAAAGCGAGAATATTTTTCTTCAACATCCACTTTCATCTTAGCCGTTAGCTCGTCAATCCAGTCGAAATAAACAATTTCTCCAAACTGAGGTTGTTCAAAAAGCCATCCACAACAGGTAAGATATTAACTAACGGTACTCAAAACCATTGTACAAATCTCACTTTAACGGATCTGAATAATTCCTTTAAACTCACTCACCCCCCTCAAGCAGGAGGTTGAGAAGCATTAAGTGTAGAAACAGCTTCTATTTGTATTTGTATTCATACCCATCTGCTCACTACAGACTCATGTTCGGACTGATGTTTAATATTTAATTTACCGTATTATTTTACATTATTAATGTTTAGCGTATATCTTCGATCCTTTTATACTGTTTCTTGTTACATTTTTGCTATTTTTGGGTGTAACTGGGACCTTGTGTACACAATTTCGTTCCACCTCACGTACCACATGTGATGCGAATGACAATAAAGAACCTTGAACTTTAATTTGTGATTTTAAAACATTGGCTTTAGAAACTGATGTGTAAGGCAAATTTTCATGCTGAAGACAATAAGCCAAAAAATAAAAAATAAATAAATGCAATGAAAAGACAATATCACAAATATGAAGTCACTGATCTGTAGGCATGAAGGGATGCCATGGAAAAAGTAATTTTTGTACACACTGTGGGTGGACTGTTATCTTTAAATCTATATTTTATTTTTATTGTCTTTATATGGTTATGTTTTTCTGGATTTTTTTCCTCAGATGAGCTGCCTAACAGCTTGGACAAAGAAACTTTCTCTCTTTCTTTTTTCTGAGTTTACATGAACTCGCTGAACCAGGAAATGGCTGCTGACCACACATACAAATGAACTTGTCTGAAAGCGTACGCCCTGTGTTTGTTGGTTTAGTACAGTTTAAAAACGACATAAGTGCAAGTTAATTTGTGTTTTAATTATTATTTTCTATAAATATTTGATAAGGAGACATTTTTGATTGGTTGACAAAGCAGGAGAGGAGAGGGATTTATAATGCATCATGGCCTAAAAAGCCTCTCATCGATTTGGTGTGTGGATTTAGATTTTGGACACATCGTTTGTGTTTTTGCTATTTTATATATAAAACAGTTTAAACTTAACCATCGTGGTCCTGAGGAGATTTTGCTGCTGGAAAAGGATGGAGAGGTGGAGTCCATGGAAAATGTTTTTCAGAAACCTACACCCTAACAGGGTTTACTAGCCACACGCTTTTCCAAAAGGATGAAATAACTGCGGAGTCATGGCTCTTGCCTCAGACAGCCAGAATATCAATAAAGTATTCCATTACTGTAAAAAGGACAGAGACGGAGAGGAGAGAGGCATGGAGACAAATGGACGGAGAGAAGAATCAAATCAATGGGTCGTGTGATTCGGTTTAGCTCTGAATTTCAGGTTCTCTTACTGCAAAGCAGGAAACACAATCTTTCACAGACACATTTCATAATAATATTACGATAACGCATGAAAAGACTGCTTAAAATGAATAGTTGTACACATAGGAACAATAGAAAAAAACAGTTAAGTCTTGATTTATCGCCTTGCCAAGTGGCTGTGAAGGCATTAATGAGCGTTTGGAGAGGACGTGGTCATATCTTTAGTTATCAAGGCAATAGGGCGGCCAGTCTGGCTTCCTGCCAAGTTTTCTGGTTAAACGGATGTCTGGAGATCAAGTGAAAGTGCAGGAAAAGGCAGTGATGGGCAGGGAGTGGCCAAAGCTTGTGGTGATGAACGGAAGAGAAAGGAAGGGTGGAGTGAGGAGGGCTGAGGGAGGGGGAGGTGTGATGCTCAGAGGGTGAGTGTATAAAAGCCCTCCGCACTCCTCAGTCTGATGTCCTGTTGCTTCAGGAGCATCTCGAAGCCTCCAGCTCTCCACCTTTCATCCGTGACAGAGAACAGAACCAGAGCAACCATGAGCCACTCTTCCTCCACCTCCTACAGGCGCACTTTTGGAAGCCCACACCCCATCACCCTGTCCTCCTTCACCCCCGTGTCCTCTCGGGTTCCTATCTCTGGAGGCCGCTACATGCGTTCGGCCTCACCTGTTGTGGCATCCCGCTCTTCCACCTACCACCAACAGCGTTCCCGCCCCCAGCCCCCTCGCCTCTCCTACGACAAGGTGGACTTCACCTTGGCTGAAGCCGTCAACCAGGAGTTCCTCGCCACCCGCAGCAACGAGAAGGCTGAGCTGCAGGACCTCAACGACCGCTTCGCCAGCTACATTGAGAAGGTGCGGTACCTGGAGCAGCAGAACGGTGCGCTGCTGCAGGAGCTGAACCAGTACAAGGGCCAATACCAGCAAGGCCAGCCCAACCGGGCCTCTGAGCTCTTCCAGGAGGAGCTGAGGGAGCTGAGGAACCAGATGGATGCAATCGGCAAAGAGCGGGACCAGTACCAGCTGGAGCGGGACAACCTGGCTGATGACCTGGCTCTTCTCAAGCAGAGGTCAGTATCACAGTGACTAAAAAAAGATGATGGATGTTCCCCTGATCAGGGTTTAGAAGAAGAAACCAGACTCCGGGGAGGGTTTGGGGTGTGGCACATGATCGTGATGCTGAGCTGCATCATGTGTGCACACCGCGCTCATGCATGATTAAAAGATGTCTCGTGATGTTTTAAGCACCACAACTTCAGAGACTTTGACCAAACCTAAAACACAAGGATGCATGAGAGATGAGCAGAGGGTCGAGTTCGGGTGGAGGGACCGGACACTGGGTGGGGCTGGCTGAGAAGCAGGGAAGAAGAGGAAATGGGAGCAGAGTGGAAGGGGTTGGGTATCAGGAGGGACGAGGATGGTGTCAGAAAAAAAGAAATAAAAATCAATGCGACTCGATAACTCCATTAGGTGTGTTTCAGTGTCCCTCTGCTGATGGGATGGTGCCAGAAAGCCCATTAGGACTAAAGGGCCCCAGCGTAACACAGCATGAATTAAAGATGAGAACGGACGACCGACTAATGCTTTATGTCCATCCTGGGCAGGGCTGCTGTCTGACTAAACAGATGAAGCTGCGCAACCTCCCACACGATCAATCAGAATATGAAAGCAGAGAAGGAGAAAACTTGAGTATGGTATTTCAGTTTATTTTTAATATCTTGTAACCTTATACAAGAAATCAAAGTGGAAACTGAACAAAACTGTCCCGTTTCATTTTTTTTTAAAATATATTAATTTGCTCATTTTCAATCCACAGTCCAAAAACAACTCACTACCTCGGAAATATTATATGAAATAATCTTTTCACGATCTTAGAAAAGAGGACGTGTCTGCAGGTAATCTGATTGGGGTTGTGCAGATGACCTTAGTGCAGAGATTCTGCATTAGCTGATAGGAGCAGCTGCAAATCTCAGCGAGGACACCCCCCAAAGAGCCTTTAACGGGACTGAAAATGAAGATTGATCCAGAAAGCTTTTAGCCAGCTGATGCCTTTTGACAGGAAGGGAGATCCGAGTTAGCAAACAACAACAAAAATAAACATGTTAACTAAATATCCTTGGTGCTTCAGAGGAATGTGTGCAATATTTTGTTCTGCTCTCAGGTTGGATGAAGAAGCTCAGAAGAGGGCGGACGCTGAAAATAACCTGGTGGCCTTTCGCAAGGTAAACACTGAGGTCACCAGATAACGATTATTTTATTGATGACGGCGTCTGCAGTCTCAGATAACACATCTACTTCATTAGCTTTGTTATATCTGCAGCACAGTGTCACAACAATATGACTGGACAGACTTCTGGATGTAGATCCTCCAATACGATGAATGTTTAATAAAAGTAAAAACAATTAAAAGCCTGATAGTGGAGTTTCAGCTACAGACTTTAGTTTAAGGCTTTCTTTATGTCTTATAATCCAACTAGGATGTGGACGATGCTACGTTGTCCCGTTTGGAGCTGGAGAGGAAGATTGAATCTTTAATGGATGAGATTGAATTCCTCAAGAAACTCCATGATGAAGTAAGTGACGCTACCTCTGCACCTCTTCACTGTCACTGTCCAAACAGAGGGCCATTAAAAAAACTTTAAATCTAAAGAGCAACAGATATTGTAGGCTAAATTTTAAAATGGATCTTGACTTCTGTATGTGTTCCCGTTTGTTTGCACATGCTCGCGTTGTCAGGAAATCCAGGACGTACAAGTGTGTGTCCAGACCCAGCAGCTGAAACTGGAGGTGGACAGCACCTCCAGGCCGGACCTCACTGGTGCTCTGAGGGACATCAGGGCTCAGTACGAGACCATTGCCTTGAAGAACATGCAGGAATCGGAGGACTGGTACAAGTCCAAGGTGGGTAGAAGAGGCAGGCGCGCCCTCACAAGCAAACACGAAGCATTAGTTTGTTCATTTTTGTGCTCTTCGTGTTTGTTTCTCCACCAGTTCACTGACTTGACTGATTCTGCCAAGCGCAACACCGACGCCCTGCGGCAAGCCAAGCAGGACGCCAACGAGTCCAGGAGGCAGATTCAGTCTCTCAACTGTGAAATTGATGCACTGAAGAACACCGTAAGAGCAAATATCACCGACAGTGATCTATATTTCAGTTCAATGCAGTTTATTTATGTAGCGTCGAGTCACAACAGAAGTCTTCTCAGGGCACTGAACAGAAACATTCATATATATAAAAGTTAATAACATTAATTATCTGAGGAGCTTTGAGTTTAACTTCATCACAGACTTTCATCTTGAGCATGAAGGCGACAGTGGAAAGGAAAAACTCCCTCATGAGGAAGAAACCTTTAGCAGAACCAGACTCAGGACAAGTGGCCATCTGCTTCGATCAGCTGAGTTTGACAGGAACAGATACACAATGGCAGGTCAAGAATCACATGTTAAGATAGAAATAAGATCAAATGAAAACTATTCATTTGCAACAATTCATTTTAAGAAATGTGGTCAATTTGTCCTCCAGTAGTCTAAGCCTATGGCAGCATTACAAGCCAACCCTAACTGTAGGATTCATCAAAAAGGAAAGTCTTAAGTCCAGTCTTAAAACTGGCCAATGTGTCAGCCTCACGGAGAGAAACTGGAAGTTGGTTTCACAAGAAGAGGAGCCTGATAACTGAAAGATCTTCCTCCCATTCTGCTCTTGGAAACTCTAGGAACCACAAGTAAGCCTGCAGTCTGAGAGCGAAGTGCTCTGTTAGGAAAATATGGGACAATAAGAAATCTAATATAAGATGGAGCTAGGTTGTTGAGGGCTTTGTAGGTTAGAAGTAAGCTTTTGATGAAACATATATGAAACAATATGAATGTATAAATGTGATACAGTTTTAACTTTGTGTAATCTGTTTTGCTGCTGTATTTTATTTATTCATTTACTTCAGAATGAAGCTCTGCTGAGGCAGATGCGTGAAATGGAGGACCAGTTTGGCAACGAGCTGGCCAACTATCAGGACAACGTAGGCAGACTTGAGGACGAGATTCGTCACCTGAAGGAGGAGATGGCTCGCCACCTTCGGGAGTACCAGGACCTCCTCAATGTCAAGATGGCTCTGGACATTGAGATTGCCACGTACCGTAAACTGCTGGAGGGGGAGGAGAGCAGGTGTTGGAGAAACGCTGCATTCATTGCCGTTAACACTTTTTCTTAGTTTTTCTTTTTCAGAATCAAACTGCTGAGCTGTGATGTCCAGTTATAACGCAGATCCTTTTTTAATTATTTTTTTTTTTCCACATAGGATTGCTGTTCCCATCTTTAATGTTGGCATGAGTAACCACCTTGGTGAGAGAGGTAAACTACAGTCCTTTGTTTCTATAATGAATTTGAACCAAAGCTCAAAGGTTTGCTTGTATCTTTAACGTTTGTGAACTGGGGTACTGATTACTTTGTGGGGGGATTTTCTCTTCTTTGACCAACCCTTTTTACAGCAGTTTTAGATTAGAGTATTTACAATGGATGGTCTATAAATATGGAAGAGAAGAAAACATCATGAAAGTTTCTACAGGCTCCAGTGCTGAAGAAAAGCTATCTGGGAAAACAAATTGGTATTGAAATGCAGCTTTATTTGTATCCAGTGTTCACATAAATCTAACAAGTGAATTTGTTTAGTTTTGTTTTACTGCATGCTTTCTTTCATTTTATGCAGGGACCGGTTTCTTTTAAAGCAGTGGTTCATCTTTAAGCGGTGGTTCATTAAGCAGTGGTTCATCTTAAGCAGTGGTTCATTCTTTGGGCAGATTGTTTAACCAGCTGAGTTTCATGCCAGCAACAGGATTAGTAATCTAATTGTTACTGAACATATTTTAGTTTATATCTCTAAAAGTGTGTTTCAATGAAAACACAATAAACAAACAATATCTTACCTGTTGCTGATACAGCTTTCAACAACCTCAGTTTGGAAAAATACAGTTTGATTTTGACTGGCTAGCCCAAGCGAGGTCAAGTTCGAATTTGATTGCTGCCTTCGCAAAACAACTCAATGTTTAAAAAGTTACTTCATGTAAATACTGTTTAATAAATGTTTATATCACTGTTAATTTTGCATTACATGGTTATTCTAGCAGAAAAATAAACATTATTGCTGAACATGCCTCAGTGTACTCTAAAAGTGCCACAGCTAGCTGCTGCTGCTATTTGTGCTTGCAGAAAACCCATAAAATTACATGTAAAACAACTATAAAAGCATTTTTGAATATTCGTGTAATAACTTTTGCTATGAATTGCCCCACCCCTGCTTGGTCTAACCATTAGCTCATCACTCTGGTCAAATTTGAACTTTATTTTTCCAAACTGAGTTCATACAAAGAGCTATCTACAGCAGGTAAGATATTTATTACCGGTACTCATAACATTTTCACAAATGATTACTTGAAAGACAGAAAACTGTAAAAAAAACCAACAACAACAAAAAAAAAACTGAATAAGTAATATTAACAAACAAAAACTGTCCAAACCACGGGCAGCACGGTGGCGCAACTGGTAGAGCTGCTGCCTCTCAGCGAGCAGGTCCCTGGTTCAAACCCCGGTCCAGGGGCCTTTCTGGGTGGAGTTTGCATGTTCCCTCCGTGCATGTGTGGGTTTTCTCCGGGTGCTCCGGTTTCCTCCCACAGACCAAAAACATGCATGTTAGGCTGATTGGTAACTCTAAATTGTCCCTAGGTGTGAGTGAGAGAGTGAATGGTTGTTTGTCTCGTTTGTCTCTATGTGTCCCTGTGATGGACTTGCGACCCGTCCAGGGTGTACCCCGCCCCTCGCACAGTGATTGCTGGACATGGGCACCAGCGACCCCTGTGACCCAAAATGGAATAAGCGGGTAAAGATAATGGATGGATGGATGTCCAAACCACTGATCTGAAGGTAAACTTTTCATCTGTGTTTGTTCTGACATTTTACAGACTATGAAAAAACTCCGGACCCTCAGAGCAAGAAAACCGTGGTAATAAAGACGGTGGAGACCAGAGATGGAGAAGTACAAGAATATTAATTAAACTACCTAACCATGGTCAATATTTACTGTATTATTGTTTGAAAATAACTTATGTGTATTTTGCTTTTTTCATCAGGTTGTGAAGGAGTCCAGGAAGGAGAGTGACCCGAGTAAAACCACCAAGGACGAATAGACAAAAACTGTGAAGTTAGATAATGTGCCATGATAGGATAAAATAAAATAAAAACAATTATGGCACATCTAGTCTTATTCCATTAGTAATGTGTGTCATTATCTAGCAATGTGTCCCTCAGCAATGGTGCGAAGTTGGATAAATTCCTTTGGATTGTGTGACGCTGGTGCTATATAAGCCACCGAACATTTGCTAAACACCCGTCTTTATATGCAGGGCTGTTCAAAACCCCTTTATTCCTGTACCACTCGAGGCCTTGATTTACAGTGCAATCTCGTGGAACTCCATTCAACCACATATTTATAGCAGATAATTAAAATACATGCTTAGATAGGTGGATAAACCCAGGATTCTAGTACTGTATGTCAGTCTGTAGGTATGATTACTGATAAACTCGCTGACACTGCCCTGTGGCCAACACACCTTAAAAGACAGAGATTTAACTTCATCTGTCGGCTTTTGTTTTAGACGCTTTGCTACCCTCTTATTGTTCAAATAACCTTTTAAACAAAGATGTGGATTGCTTAATAAGCTTATAACAGACAAGAAATGCTGATACTGAAAATGTGATCAATTAACTAAACTTTTGCAGAATGTGCTTTTCAATGATGTGTGTGTCTGACACAGTTAATGAAGGAAAATGTCTGTTCAAATAAACTTCATTAGAGCAAGTATTTGTTGTCCGTCTGCGTTAATACTTTTAAAGTAGCATTTACTGTGTTTGTCAAAAATAATCTCTGTCCATATGAAAATATGACATGCTCTCCACAGCGTTCAAAACCGACATTTCTTCTCATGTGTGTTGCAGCCATATTGGATTTTGAGATAATGTTGGTCAACAATTGTTGACTATCTGGAAATCTGACGTCCAGGTGGCGTTGTAGTTGATTTTTCCAACTTAGACTGGAAAAGCACAATCATTGTGCATTGTTACTGCTTAACACTTTCCACTGGTCAGTAACGCCTAATGTTCTATTTGAAAACATTATTTTATATGAGTAAATAAATGAACAAATGCAAGACAATGGCAGTTTGAGTTTTTGCAGTGATAAAGTCAAAAGAAGCTGAACACAGATGTGTTTCTGTGTGGAGTTTGTGGGTTTACTTTGGATACTCACACTTCCTTCACCCACAGAACAAAAGCTTGTAACTTTGGTTAAATAAAACCCCAAATGAACCAAAATAAACAAAAAATATATATGAACAAAAAAGGTCATGTCATCTGGACCAGTTTCTTTTAAGTGAGAAACGTTTTGTCCCCCATCCGGAGGACTTCGTCAGTCTGCGGCCTACCAACAAGATCTGTATTAGTAGGCTTCACTGCTGTGTTTCAATCCAACCTCCTGTCTGAAGCTTTTTAACACATGCAAACAGAGCACACCCATTCAAAACCATCAATAATCAGGTACAACAATCAAATGTTTTAGGCCAAATGGCCAACTTGCTACTCACAGAAACAGCCTGAGGACAACCAAGGCCAAAATGGTTCAGAATAAAAGTTTGTAAACTCAATCATCCAGGTAGATAACAACAAAAAAGGTTCAGTCTTGTCATCAGAACCAGTATGCATGTGCCTTTATTATTGTACAAATGTAAAAAGACGTGTAAAGACAGGCTAATTTTAAAGTTGTGTCATATGTGAGCGCAAAACGAGTAGGATAATATTAAAACTTACTTCTGATGTTGCAACAGTTTGGCTTTTTCGCAGACTGCAGCTAAATGTCCCACACGTCGTGCTGTAGCCGTGAAACACGTTGGTGCCTGACAGACAAAACTCAGGGCACCAAGTTTCTCACAATCCTACAGTGACGACATTCTACTTCCGCTTTTTGTGTTTACGCTCTCTCTCTTGGCGCGAGACTTGTCGAGGCAGTTTGTTTTGCGACACTGGTTCTATCAAGAAAAAGTATTAGTTTCATTCATTGACGGATATTAAACTCGGCAGCTGGTGCGTAACAACCTTTGAACAGCCGAGTTTTATTATTTTTTGTTGTTGTTTGTTTTGTTTTTTGACCGAGTTCATTTAGCGTTCGGTGCTGCTGTGAGTTAGCTAACTTCCACTGTGAGAAGTTATATTTTTGTTATGGCTTGATATATTTAGCTCTCCTTAAACTGTAATAATTTAGTTCCATTCAGTTAATTAGTGTCCAAAACTAAACATTGTTTATCCTTGAGCTCATTTCAAAACAAGTGCAATGAGCTTTACTTTACTTTAATGACTGAGGAAAAATAACTCTAAAGCCATTTTACCTTTTTTAAGATGTAATTATTCATTATAGTCGGTTTTAGTAAATATAAAATGCAGCATTTACTAGTTGTAAGAAACAAAGAGCAATTAAGATTTTTTTATTTGAATAAAATCGTATCTTCCTCCTGAGCTGATTTAATAAAATAAAACCCAGAATCTGATGTTCTTGTTGTTTAACAGGGCACTGATTTTGTGTGTTTAGGTTGAACTCCTGCACTTGAACGCTGCTGGAGACTCATCCAGAATGAACTGTGAACTTTTGGCAACATGCAGTGCACTTGGTTGTTTGGAGGGAGACACCTACCACAAGGAGCCTGACTGCTTGGGTAAGTACATTCAAACTGTATAGGTATGTGTTTGCTGGCTTTTTTAAAACGTTTACACGTAATTGAGAGAACTGTCCTTGATGTTTGTGGTGCAGAAAGTGTGAAGGACCTGATCCGGTATTTACGCCATGAAGACGACACTCGCGATATCCGCCAGCAACTTGGTGAAAGTCAGATTGTTCAGAATGACCTTCTTCCAATTATTGTTCATTACAGACAAGACAAAACTTTATTTGATGCCTGCATCAGGTGAGACTCTTAACAAAGCTTCTTTCCAGTAAACGTTTAACACAATAATAATCGCAACACTGTAGTATGTGGAAATAAATCAAGTGCAAATAAAATAACTGTTTAAAGGGCTTTTTTTTTTCCAGGCTCGTGGTCAACCTTACTCAGCCTGCCATGCTGTGTTTTGGTAAAATCCCAGATGACCCGGTGTTTAGGCATCACTTCATGCAAGTGATGTCCCATTTACAAGCCTATAAAGAGGTATTTTATTAGAGTAAATACTGTTAATTAAATAAGTACAATAACGGCAATGCCTGCTGATTAAATTACACTTTACTGTAGATAAAATACTACTGTATATTTGTGTACTTGTTTGTTTCAGGCATTTGCCAGTGAGAGGGTGTTTGGTGTTCTGAGTGAGACCTTGTACAACCTCCTCCAACTTGTGAGTCATTTAACTTGCAGTAAAAATGTTTGGTTTTTTTAAAACTCCCTTTTTTCCGCTGAGAAAATCTGTTTTTATGCGTTTCATTCATTCAGGACTGGGAACAACGACAGGAAGAGGATAATCTTCTTATAGAGAGGATTTTGCTTCTGGTCAGAAATGTGCTTCATGTACCTGCAGACCCCCTTGAAGAAAAGGTTTGATTCTGTTCATTTGCTAAGAATCTGACTTTGTGTTTTTTACTCTTATTTAACCGTTTCTTCTATCTTTGGCCTCCTGTCTGGTTGTAGAAGGTGGATGATGATGCCAGCGTCCATGACAGGGTGCTGTGGGCCGTTCACATGAGCGGTTTCGATGACCTGATCAAGTTTGTTGCATGTGCCCAGAGCGAACAACAGTGGAACATGCACGTGTTGGAAATAATCTCCCTCATGTTCAGAGACCAGGTTAGACAGTGATTGTTCGGCTTTACACTTATATAGATTTCCTTCTGTCCAGTGCTCGAGCTTCTTTTGTTGTGATTTATAGACACCAGAGGCTTTGGTGAGCGCTGGTCACGCTCGATCAGCAGAAGAAAAGCAGAGAGACTCTCAGGAGCTGGAGGCGCTGAGGCAGAAGGAGCACGCAGAGAAACGCTCTCGTAATTTACAAAGAGGAACCAGGTAAAGACGAGCTGGAGATCTTTTTCAACAGGAGGGTCTACCTGTTGTCAAAAATGTTTGTTTCTCTGGCTTGTTTTGCCTTGCAGTCCTGTTCCTTGGTTGTTAGGAATCCAAAAGTTTTACAACTTGTTTTTCACAAAATTTGTAATCCAATATCAAATGTAAAATTGAAAAATGTGCATTTACTGTGAAAATGCAGTGTGAATAATTATTGCTAAATGATGCTGCTGAAGAAGCAGAAGCCAAGCTGTATGTTTTCAGTCGCTGAACAGTAGAGAACAGAAGTGGCAAAACACTGGCAAGAAGGCAGGAAATGCTAACTTTGAATCAGATGTAGCAAAATGCTAGCAACAAAAGCATGAAAGAGCTAGCTTAATGCTAGAATTAGCAAAGCGCTAATAAAAAAAAAAGAATGCAAAAAGCTGTTTTAGAGGCAGAAACATCAAAGTGCTAACTAAAAGGGGGAAAATGCTAGCTAAGAGCCAGAAGTAGTAAAACATTTGCAAAAAGCAGGACAAAGCTAGCTTAAAGCTAAAGTAGCGAAACACCAGCAAAAAGGCAGGATAAAGCTTGCTTAGAGTCAGAAGTAGCCAAATGCTTGCAAAAAGCAGGAAAATGCTAGCCAGGGGAAACGTTTGCTGAATTAGTCTAAAATAAGCAGAAATTAGTTTAAAACAAAAAGTTTAAATTAGCAGAGAAAAGCTAAAATTAGCAACAACAACAAAAATGGTGAATAATAGCTGAAAACAGAAAAAAAAAGCTTAAATTAGAAGGAAGCAGAAAGAGCACGTTTGCTGAATTAAGCTGAAAAAAGCTAAAGTGAGCACAAAATGGTGGAATTAGCTGAAAAAGCTAAAATTGGCAGGAAAAACTTCTAAGCAGTAGCTGAAAATATAGAAACAAGCTAACATTAGCAGACATAAGCTTAAACGAGCATTCAAAGCTGCAATGAGCAGAATGTGGTTAGAAGAAGCACAAAAAAGCTGAAGATGGCAGAAAGAAGCTGAACCAGAACAAAATGTGACGGATTGTAAACAGATCAAAGGATGTGAAGTGAGCTCAACTCATTTTTAAGGAGAAACAAATGGCATAAAAAGCTAAGTATTTCTAAAAGCTTAAGTTTCACAATACCTAAAGTTATAGCAGGAATGTCCTGAATGAGCTGAAAGTTTTGGTGTATGAATTGCTGAAATAGCACAAAAATTGCTGAACGAGTCGGATGCCGAAAAATGTACGGAAGACGATAATAAAGAGAAACAGGAAGTAAAACATGTATATCTCCTGGAATCTCTCATTACATATGTTCCTTTTCAGGAACATTGCGCATGGCTCAACTCTACTCTCGACTTGTCTTTTTTAATATATATAAATTTACAGCCGACGTTTTTACCAAGCAGTGCTGATACTGTTACAGTGACTCGAAAACAGCGACTGCAGGTCACTGAGTGGACAGAAAATATTCCTACATGTAGACGCAACATCAGCATCTCTGCAGCAGCTTTGAATTTCTGCACACACCAAACATCTTTATATCAGGAGGGGAAACTGTTGCAAATCTCTGTTTACAAACCTAAACACAGATTATAAAACCACTCGTATCTGAAATGTTCATGAATTATGGATCTATGAGCTTGATGGATTAAGTGCAACTATATTTATCTGTGCTGGCCAGTTCTGAGTTGTTACAGTGTGAGAAGATGTCCAACATCCATAAAGATTAAATTAATTTGAATTATGTCACGAGGGCGCTACAATCACAGTCACAGTGTTGATTGATTTCCTTAAAGCTTTGAATGATACCATATTTGTGTGAATGCTTATATGAAGCATTCATTGTGATCCTTTTTTATGAATTGAGATCATTTTACACCCTTCAAATCTTTAGATCTGTTTACAACCTTTTACTGCTCCTTTCACATTCTGTTCTGCTTCAGCTTCTTTCAGCTTCCTTGTGCAAATTAAAAAAAAAAATTCAGCTGTTTTTTCAGCTGTTTGTGCTCCCTTCGGCTTCTTTCTGCTAACTACAACATTTTTGTCCTTTCAACTTTTTTCTGCTAATTTCAGCTTTTTATGCTATTTCAGCTACTATTTAGCTGTTTTATGCTAATTTTAGCTTTATCAGCTTATTCTAGAATTTTTGCACTCGTTTAAACTTTTTTCAGCCTAATTCAACAAAAATGTGCTCTCTCCACTTCCTTCTAGTAATTTAAGCTTCTTTCTGCCTTTTTAGCTACTTTTCAGCTTTTTTTTTCTTTTCTAAATTCAGCTGTTTTCAGATACTGTAATTTCCACATTTTTCTGCTTCTTGCAGCCTAATTGGGCAAATGTGTTTTTTCTTCTGCTAATTTGAGCTTGTTCTGTCATTGCAGCTACCTTTTTTAGCATTTTTTTTAGCTACTGGTAATTTCAGCTGTTTTCAGACAAATTCAATTTTTTTCATGCAAGTTTCAGCTACTTTCAGCCTAATTAACTCCTTTCAGCTATTTTTTCAACAAGTTACTTTTTTCAACAAGTTATTCTGCAATAAGCATTCACACTGCATTTTTGCAGGAAATGCAATTTCTATAGATCTTTTACAACTTCCTCTGTTTTTTTTCATTCATTCAACCTTTATTTATACAGGTTAATCCCGTTGAGCCTCGGGGACTCATTTACAAGAGAGACCTGATTTCTTAACGAGAGTGATGATAGCAAAGGATAACAATGACAACAATAGACAGTTATAAAATAGGCATAGGCTTACAAGTTTAAGTTTCTCTTCTTTTTTTTTTTTTTTTACAAATCAAAACAAAATAGCAACCAAACTTCCTCTGTATTGCATGGATATGTATCTTTTTTGTTTAACAGCTTTTCTGTTGTTGTTTTTTTCAGACACTCTCGTTTTGGTGGGTCTTTTGTCGTTCAAGGCCTCAAAGCAATTGGGGACAAAGACGTCATCTATCACCAAAATCTGAACAATGCGAGTTCTCGTCCTTCCTCAGCTTTTCACTAGCATCCCAAAAAAAAGAAAAACATCCCAACATCGTGAGGCAGCAGTTAATGCATCTTTGCGTTTCATTTTGCAGTTCAAACATTACACCCATGACCTCGGTAAAGCAGTGAGGCGCGTTCCCAAGAGGAATCGACGGGCCCAGGAATGTAAGGACAAACGGCGCTCGGCCTTAAACGTCCGACTCTTCCTGCGAGAGTTTTGCGTCGACTTCTTGGAGAACTGCTACAACCGACTCATGTACCTCGTCAAGGTCGGCCGCTGCGACAAGACTTTCATCAAGCTTTTAGCATAAGACTAAACACACGGATCGATCTGGAAATTCAAAATGTCTTTCACCTGAAGTGTTTTCATGATGTGAGCATTAGATTTTGACAGATTTAAGCTTCCCTTTCCTCCACAGGAAAGTTTGATTCGAGAGCAGTCCCAGCAGCACGATGAGACCTACTACCTCTGGGCGCTCAGCTTCTTCATGGAGTTCAACCGTGGCAACGGTTTCCATGCCGACTTAGTTTCTGAGACCATGTCTGTTCGCACTTTTCATTTTATTGAACGCAACATTACCAATTACTACGAGATGATACTAACAGACCGCAAAGAGGCCACATCCTGGTCCCGCAGGTGAGACTGGTTTGAAAGAGTTGAGAGGTAACGGATAAATGAGGCTTTTTCCTCCCACTTGTTCATATCTGTTTATTTTAGGATGCACTTGGCTCTAAAAGCATATCAAGAACTGCTGCTGACTGTGAACGAGATGGACCGCACGCCTGATGAAAGCATCCGTCAGAGTTCTAATGTTATTAAAAGTAAGGTGTTACTCATTCACTGTAAACTTCACTGGCTTTAAAAATGCTTTTAAATTAGATGTTCATTTATGACTGATTAACTTTTGGAGTTAACCCAATTCAAAACGGTTGCCACAGTTATTCAACCATAATGCAGTACAGTAGTCCCTCGCTACTTTGCGGTTCGTTTATCGTGGACTCGCTCTATCGCGCTTTTTCAAAATAAGATTGGACATGACACACAATTGGCCGAGTGATGGATAAACCACACGATCGGCATAGAATTTTTATTTAAAATAAATTATTTTAAATTATTTAGCACCTTTGTGCAGCCCGTGCTGCAGGATAAACTTCGAGCTGCAGCTGATCAGCTGATCTCGGTGCAGAGCTGAGAAATGGGCGTGGCCAAGAGCGCTTGCAGGTGGCAAAGTGCAGAGAAGGCAGGGAGCTGAAATCATGACATTCTTTTACAGTTTAGAAACATTGATCATTTAGAATCTTGCAAGCGTGTGGGAAGGGTTTAAAACACCTTCATATATATATATATATATACTAAAATAAACTACTACTTAATACTTGTACTACTATTCCTACTTTGCAGTTTTTCACTTATCGCGGGGCTTCAGGGTATGGATCCCCTGCGATAAACGAGCGGATACTGTATTTTGTATTTTAAGGCTTTATAAACCCTTCTTACACTCTGGCAATGTTCTTAACTTGTAAACCTACATAAATTTAACAACATATGTATATGTACTGTACAGTATTGCAAAATTTTACTCACCAGCTCTGCAGAACAGCAGCTCAGTTCCTGTCAGGCTCGGTTCCGGTCCAGCAGACCTACCCTGCAACGACGAAGCCCACGATGTTCTAAACTCTTAAACCTACGTAATTTTAAGCACCGTTGAGCACCAAGATGCTTTAGAGAGAGCCGGACCTTCAGATAGCCACAAAACCACACAATGGTTCAGATCGAGTCCAAATCCAGTTGAAAAAGGTCCCAGTGAGCTCCAGAGAAAACACCAGACTTCCAAGCGACGCCTCCCAGCTCGAGAGGCTCCCTGGGCCGGCAAGCAGCTCTCAGATTGACCGATGAGGCTGGAAGTCCGGTTCTGGTCCAACTTTCGGTCGGTTCCATGCAGCTCTCTGCATCCACTGAGCGCCGAAGTCACTATGAATAAGGACTGAACTTTTTCGTATCAAATCAAAACTTTCCCTCCGTTTCAGCAGAAATCAACAGCTGAAAGCTCTGTTGGGACTTCTGGGAAATGTAGTCCTTTTGACTGGCGATACTGTATAGGCTTATTGAGAGAAAACTACAAAATGGTGATGCCTGTCCGAAGTATTTATTTTTTTGTTAACTTTTTACTGTATCCCGTACTGTCCCAATCACATGAGCAATATTAAAGTTGACAATCGTGTGTCATGTACACATTGTTTAATTTTTTATTTTTTATCATATACACTCTTACTTTGAAAAACCGTGAAGTAGTGAGAAACTACTGTAATCACAAAAATATCTGTCAGTTTTACAGATATTGGGCTAGTAGCTGAGGGTCATCATATGTTCACCTCTACTGTGCAGGTAACATATTCTACCTGATGGAGTACAGAGAGATATTCCTGACTTTGCTGAGAAAATATGACGAAACGAAGCAGCCACAGTCCTACCTCAAAGACCTGGTGGAGTCAACACATCTGTTCCTGCGAATGTTGGAGCGGTTCTGCAAAGGTCGGAGGAACCTGATCGTGCAGGTCGGTTCTCTTGTGTTTATTCAAAGTGTATCTTTTTTTAAAACATGCTTGAGATGTTGTCCAGATGTTTGATGTTTTGATCACTCTTCAGAGGAAGAAGGTGAGGAGGAAGAAGTCACACGGGAAAAAGAAGCAGTCTGCTTTCGAGTCTAGTCCTGAAGAGCTGGCGGAGACATGGAAGACTGTGGAGGAAGAGCTGAGGGGAACAAGCTTTCAGGTTAGTGCGAGAACTGACCTCTAGGTGGAGCAGTGAGCAAAACAGGAAATATCCAAAAACGTTCAATCTGGTCCTCTGGACATTCAAAAAAACAAAACAAAGCAAAAAAAACAGGAAATACCTTTTATTAAATTCAGTCTGATGAAAATAAAATGGACTTGCCTTTAGTCCACATTCAGCGCCACACCTTTTGCTTTCTGCTCTCAGCTGTCCGAGTCTTTAACGGAGAGCATCGTGCCTTTTGACGCCACGTCTGAAACTCCTCTCGAGGAGCAGAGAACCGAGGCGATGGTTCGAGTGCAGGATGCTCTACTGGCTCGATTAGGACCCGAAGCTCTGGCTCTGCTGCGAGCCGCCAGGTCAGTAAAACATTATTGTTCTTTATTCCATTTATTCTGCCGTCCTCCTCCTCGTGATGAAGTTTACGACTAAAAGGAACGCATAAAACTATCACATGAAGTCAAAGTTATCCGAGCAGCAGTTCAGACTTTCTTCAGTGGGGTTAAGTGGACAGGTTATGAACAGTTAACATCTTACCTGTTGTGGATGGCTCTTTTAGAGAAATGGTTCAATTCTGACAGGATTGACGACTTTAATACTCGTTTGAAAAATACATCAAGGCAAGCAGTGAGTTCAATTTCACCCTTTTATCGTTTCAACTCAACTCTACATGTGTTCCAGTTTTTTGTGGTGTCGTTTAAGGGCAATATGGCAAAAACTCTACAAACAAACCTTTTAGGAACACACTTCAGTTCAAAATTTTGGGTGTTAAGAAACTTGCAAACTGAATTATTTGCAAAGTTTAAAAATGTATTTTTTGTCAATGTTCTTTTGCGGGTGTTAAAAATTAGTCGCTGTTTGCTGATTTCTCCTCCAAGCTAGAAAATGTTATTGTGCGACTCAAGAAAAAAATGTGTATTTGTTTATGTAAATATTAGACTTTTAGGGGGTAAATGTGTAACCCACACGTAAGGGTAATACTAAGAAAATGAGATATGCTTAAAATATGTAAATATTTAAAAAGTAAAAGATAATATTTTGTATTATTTTAATGTTCGAATAGCCGCTGAGTAGTTTTGTGATGGTTTATAAGGAATTCTCACTTTCCTGCCTAAATGAATGTGTTTAGCTGCGTAAATGTTCAGGTTTTCTTCGTGTCGTGCTCAGGGAGGTGTGGCCGGAGGGCGACGTGTTTGGGTCAGCTGACGTGGAACCTGAAGAAGAACTTGAGCTCCTCAAGCAGATCCTCCACGCCAATCTGCCACGTCAGTTCTTTATTTAAATATCGTTGATTCCCTGTTGAACTGCAGGCATTTAACAAGTAATTTCTACTTCAGGACCATCTCCCGAGGCCGTGGCTGAGGATGAGGATGATGGAGCAGAGTTAGAAGAGGAAGAGTTAGAACCTGTTCAGCTTTCTGAAACGGAGTTCAACTTCCTAGATTTTGTTAAAAAGTGAGGACATAAGAGAAGAGTCTTACAGTCTGCTTTTAGAAGAGAACTGTCGTTCCTAAAACGATTTACTGTTTCTCTCGTCTCTGACAGATTTGCCAACCCTGCCATTGTTCGCCCGTACCTTCTCCTGTTAAAGTCTTACTCCAAAAACACACCCCACACAAACCACTGCATCGCACGAATGCTGCACCGCTTGGCTGTCGACCTCAAAATGGATGCCCTGATCTTCCAGCTGTCGGTCTTCTACACTTTCAACAAAATCCTGAGCGACCCTGCTGCAGCGGCATATAAGGTGCACGAACACAGGGAGGTAACGTTTCTGGTGATGGAAAGTCTTCTCTAGATTGACACGAGCTCTCTCCCCTTTTTCCTCCTTTTCACAGGAGCTAGGGACCTTCGCCAAGTACGTGCTGAACCGTTTCTTTTCAGTGGCAACACAAAACAACAAGGCGTACGTTGAGCTGCTCTTCTGGAAAAATGTTGGGGCTGTCCGTGACATGACTGAAGGCTACAGCAGAGATGGGTGGGTGTTTGTTGTTTGTTGTTTTCACTATTGAGATCCATTTTTCTTCTGAACGTTTTTCAGCATCTTTCTCGTTCTACAATTTTTGTGCTATTTAACAAATCATATATCAAAAGGTTCAGCTCGTTCAGGAGAAAGGTGCTATGACTTTTGGTATTGGTGCAACTTTAGCTTTTTGAAATATTTAGCCTTTTCTGCCACTTTTTTCTCATAGAAAATGAATTGAGCTCATTTTACATCCTTCATATCTTTAGATCTGTTTACAACCTTTTACTGCTCCTTTCACATTTTGTTTCGATTCGGCTTCTATCAGCTTCTTTATGCAAATTTAAACTTTTTTCAGCTAATTTCAGCTGGGGGTTTTTTTCCAGCTGTTTTGTTCTCCAGCTGTTTTGTTCTCCGTTCTTTCTGCTAGCTAGAACATTTTTGTGCTTCTTCTAACTTATTTCTGCTGATTTCAGCTTGTTATACTCCCTTCAGCTTATTTCTGCAAGTTTCAGCTATTTCTGCTATTTCAGCTATTGAGCTATTTTTATGCTAATTTTAGCTTTTTCAGCTAATTCCACATTTTTTGCATTCAAAACTTTTTTCAGCTGAATTTAGCAAAAATGTACCCTCTCCACTTGCTCTTCTGGTAATTTAAGCTTTTTTCTGCCTTTTTTTTTTTTTTTTTTTTTTTTTTTTTTTTTTTTTTTTTTTTTTTAGCTTTTATTCAGCTGGTTTTTGCAAATTTGTTTTTCAGATAATTTTCTTTTTGTGCTCATTTCTCCTTCTTTCAGTCTAATTGGGCACAATTGTGCTCTCTCCACTTCCTTCTGCTAATTTAAGATTCTTTCTGCCTTTTCAGCTACTTTTCAGCTATTCCTTGCTAATTTCTGCCTTTTTTTTAGCTAATTTACTAATTTTTGTGCTCATTTCTGCTTATTTAAACCAAATTCAGCAAATATGTGTTCTTTCTGCTAACGTAGGCTTGTTCTTCCATTTCAGCTACATTTCAGCATGTTTTTAGCTAATTTTCAGCAAGTTCTTCGGCACTATGCATCCACACTGTATTTTCACAGAACATGCAATTTCTCTAGTTTTGTTTGCACTTACCTAGTGTATGCCCGAGCTGACTGTTGGTGTAAGTTAGAGATGCAGTCGAAGGCTTTTGGATTTATTTATGCTCTCGATGTAAAAACAAGATATGTCAAACATTTCAGGGAGGGGAAAAAACCATCGTGGACTGAAGAGGAGGAAGAGGAGCTGCGGAGGCTCTACATGGAGCACCATGATTCTGAAGGTTTGCTTAGACGTGTATCGATGTCTGCACATCTTTTGTTGTGTTATTTACATGCTCAAGTGATCAACTCAAGCTGAACTGTTAATTTAATTCAGAATGAAACGGGAACAAAGAACAATGCTCATCAAATGCAACAGACCTCTAATCAGTGACTTATCAGCAGTTCTTGTCCCACTATAAGTTCTTCAAGAAAACTAAAACTTGTACAACTAATAATGTAAAGATCTAAGCATGTAAAACAAACAAACAAACAAACATATAAAAAGATGTTGATGTGTTCAGTGCCGGACATCGTGGAGACTCTCCTGCCATTACTCAGCAACTGTAACCGCACTCGGCGGCAGGTCGTCACTCAGCTGGTGCACATGGGTCTTGTGGGCAACGCCAAAGAACTGAAGAAACCAAAGTATGTGCCCTGGTTTGTTTAAATAAAGTGATAAATGTTTATATTCGTTAAGACGGTTTATAATTGTGTTTTGATTTAAAGGAAGGGCACTGGGATCGTTCTGTGGACGGAGCAGCAGGAGTTAGAGCTTCAGATGCTTTTCGAAGAGTACAAAGACTCTGATGGTGACCAGAGAAACCTTTTTTATTCTCAAACTAATAATCCAGTTGTTCCGCCACAGTTCACATCTGGAATTCTGCCGGTTTGTAAATATACGAGTGATTAAAAGCATTTATGCTAACACAGATGTGCTGGGTAACATCCTGAAGAAGCTCACAGCCAAGCGGTCCCGGGCGCGCGTGGTGGACAAGCTGCTCAGTATGGGCTTCGTGTCCGAGAGACGAGAACTTTATAAGAAGAGAAGCCACGGCGCTAAAGGAAAAAGCTCTGGAAAGGGAATGGTAAAATTGCTTTAGATGCACTTTAAATTTTTTAATTTTTTTACGTTCTTATAAAAAATGTTAAGGTATATTTCTAATATTGTGAACAACATTTAAATAAATGTCTAATTTCCTGCTACAGACTGAAGAAGAGTTCTTAGCTGGACTAACACAAGACCTTCAAGATGATCCCCTAGACAGAGATGATGATGATGACGATGATGAGAGTGACAATGAGTCTGATGATGGAGAGGAAGATGGAGATCAGGAGAGAGAAAAATCGCAAAATGTTGAAAAAAGAAGCCCAAACTTTCCCCTGACGATAAAGAGGAGAGCAGACATAGGCAGTATGGTCAACGCTCTACAACAGGAAGGTAAAATAAAGACCAAAAAAAAAAAAAAAAAAGACAACCATATTATAAATTAATTCATTTGATTACTTTTAACGTTTCTTCTTTTGATCTAAAAGGCATGTCTGGACCGTTGTTGTGGCTGCAAAATGCTCTGAACAGAACAGCAAACGATCGTGAAGATGATGGTGAGCGTGACAAAAGCACTGTTGTTCCCCTCTTCAGTCTCTTTATGGTGGTTCTGGGAAGGTTCTCATTAAAGTTAACAGCGCGCAGAGGAGAAAAATCTCATTTAATTAGTGTTAATGAACTTTTGGTCCATTTCCCAGATCTGTCCCAGGCTGTTCCACTTGTCCCTCTAACTGAGACAAATGAAGACGCGATGGACAACAAGAGCTTCCAGAGGCTGTTGCACAAACTGGGCATCCGACCACCTGCAAATGAACAGGTGTGTCTTTGCGTTTGTATCTTTTAGCACATTTCATTACCAGGTTGAGCTTGCTGTTTGTTTGATATGGTTTGAAATCGTTTCCAAATCTGTTCGGCAAATCATTTTTATCATACGCTGGTCGAAAAACGGACGTGTTATGGTCTAGTCTTTGTCTGTACACCCAGGCCATAACTTCTGATCTGCTCAAGAGAATTTAACAAAACTTCGAACACATCGGCCTCATCACTAGACGCAGTGTAGCATACGCTTTTCATCACTCCATCTCCAAGCTCAAGGTCACAAATCAAGGTTAAAGGTGTTACAAGGTCATTGCTGTAGGATACTTTGTTGACGGGCGTATAATGTGTTGTATCTGATACTCCTGTTTATTAAAAATCGGAAAGGTATAAATTAGGCCTGTCGCAATAAACGATAAATCAATTAATCGCATGATAAATGAAAATTATCTATCTCATTTTCATTTATCGGCTTTATCATTTCTTCTTGTCTCTTTCTACTGAAGACACTGGATGACAAAAAGACTCAACTCCGGTGCTCTTCACTGACCCCTCTCTTTCTCTTTCCTCTTTAAAATCTGTTTTAACAATCCATGATTCGTTAAAAGCAGCTAAGCTGAGAAGCTAAGTTATGAGCTAAGCTAACAGGCCGACCTCGGGGAAAAAACCTCCGTCTTGTCTAAGCTCCAAAATTCACGGTTGAAACATGTGCCTTTGTGTAAAAAGTTTTTTTTTTTCTCTGCAAAAAGAAGCTGAGAACTTGTTTACTGTTTTTGTATTAAAAGCTTTGTTTGACAAATGCTATGCTAAAGAGCTCAAACCACACCGAGCGTCCGGCATTTTGAGAACCGAAAAACAGGAAAGAGACGGCCCATGTCACGTCAAAGGGCCTCCCTCCCAGTGTTGCCAGGTGAGAAATGTAGGATTATCGTACTAGAGACATAAAATTATTGTATTTTGAGGGAAATTATCGTACACCCGTCATTACCAAAATAACAAATCTATTGATGCGTTCTAGTAGTGATGGGTCCGCTTCCAGACCGGCTCTGCTTCTTCTTCTTTTTCTCTTTTTCTTTCCCTCACTCATGGGGCGGGCGCAGCGGAATATTCAGCCAATCATGGCCGTTGTTCTGAGGTAAACGCATACATGTCACTCGTAGGTAACATTTAGAAAAGCATGATTGACTGGAATTTCCAGCCAATCGTGCATCTGTTTGCAGACACGGATGCCTTCAGGGTTCACAAAAAAACTCCGACAGACAGTTGCGACAGGCTGATGACAACTGATTCCAACCACACATTCACGGAATGGTCAAATTATCGTATATTTGGCCTTTTTTGGAATTATTGATCGTACAGAGGGCAAAATTGTCGTGCAAATACGATAATTATCGTACACCTGGCAACACTGCGCCCTCCCATTTTTCTTAGAGACATGCTGCTCCCTCACTATCCATCCTTTGGTTCAAACAGTCTTATACTGCCATCCGGTGGTCAAAAAATGTACTACAAACAAAATTAACCTACATTTCTTCTTAAATTTGACAATTGTTTAATATTGTCAAATTTCAAACAATATTATCGTTTATCGCAATAATTTCCGAGACAATCGCCCAGCAAAATTTGTTATCGTGACAAGCCTAGCATAAATGACATTTGATATATTCTTTATTCATTAATGTGAACTTTCGTCTTGTAATTAGGAAACCTTCTGGAGGATCCCAGCAAAGATCAGTCCGTCTCAGCTTCGGAGTTCAGCTGCAGCTTTAACTCCTGGAGAGGACCAAGTTGAAAACTTTGAGGAGCAAGAAGAGCCCAGAGACCCAACAGACAAACCCCAGGAGGAGGAGGAGGAGGAGGAGGAGGAGGAGGAGCTCCCAAGTGAACAAAGAGCTCAGGCTCTGAGAGCTCTGCTGCTCGCACGCAATAAGAAGCGCCGCTCTGCTGAGTGTACAGGTGGGAGTTTCATCCTTGGAACAATTTAATTACAGATTTTCCAGCGAGGTATGTGTTGCTTTACAAGGTGCACGTAAATCTTTCTTTTACAGTGACTTCCCTTGTCTCACAGTGGAGACAGTAACATTCAGATCGCTGAAGAAAATATAGCAACACAAAGTCATGAAGTTAAAAATGGGAAGTTTTACACGAGTATACTCTGGCTTCAGAGAAAATTCAGACTGAGTTTAAAGAAAGTTTCAGCTAGTTTAAAAAAAAGGGGATAAAAAAATCTTTAATGGCCTTTAAATAAGCTGCAGCCAAGAAATACACCAAGGTCCCTCAACTTTCTTGGAAGTAAAAGCAACTCTCTGGAGAGCTTTAATAAGAGAAGAAAAACATCCTAATTGCCATAAAACGTAAAGAAATAGGGCAATATACCAGCTCTTTATAAAATGTAAATCCCCATTAACAGTTTTTTTTTAATCTTTTATCAAACAAATTTCTTGTTCATTTGTTTTTGCGATAAGTTACAGCTGCAAACTTTAATAAACTTAAATAAGCTAAAACGATGGGAATTTGCTTTAACGTAAAGACTTTTTAAGTGTTTTATTTTTTTTTCTCGTGTGTGTAATTTTGTTTTGTCGTTATTTTTCATCCTTTTTGTCAGATAACACTTCTGTTGGTGACACAAAGAGCACAGCAGAAAGGTAAGGTCTTGCCTTCTTGTGTTTTTTTAATATTTAAGACAAAGGCTGTTTTGTAATTTTCACACACCGGTAGTCCTTTTTTATATAACAGATCCCGGGAAAAGACCTCAAGTAAAAGAAGCAGAATACTGGATGATGATGATGATGATGATGATGGTGGCGACGATGAGGAAAAAGGTACTCTTCACTTGGTAAACAGTGTTTCTCCAGATGTCAGTTCTTTCTCCCCATCCCGACACCTTCCTCCGCCCACTCCATCACACCACCACTCAAACAGGGCCTTGGGGTTCTGGTGCACTACTGAGCTGCAGGGAAGATCCTCCATCTCCATGGTCCTGTGGAGACCTGGGCCCCAATTTTATTAGACACTCACTTATAACATTCTCACGACACATGCATATATAAGGTCTGGGGTGGGCGCACGGTGGCATATAGGTGGTGGGATGTGCAGTCATTCTCACCTCCACGACCTGTGCCCACTCTCATATGTAGCATGTAGACATTTAGGGTTCTGGGCAAGGGTTGGGGGGGTGAACAGGTGCTGCCTGCTCTCTGGGAGGGGGGGTGGGGTGTGATCTGTGCCGGTCGCCTCCTTGTCCCCCTCCCATTTTAAACGCAGTATATAACAACGTGCATCAACACCTTATTTGAGTGGGAGGAGTGGGGTCTTCCTGTTAATTATTTATATATTTTATTTTCCTTACACCCCCGTTCTCCGTTTGACATTTGGGGTTGGGGGCAGGGAGTGGGGGTAGACCGCCTGGTTGGGGTCTGGTCTGTGGATGGGCTTTGGGCCTTGGGGGGCAGTTGGGAGTGGGGCCGGTGCTCCGGTTTTCCCTGGGTTGTTAGGATTTTTTGATCAAGGTTCCTGGTCGCGATAGCCGGCCCTTTGGCCGGGGTGGCTGCCGGGGGGAGGGGTCACCTGTGGTTGTGGTTGTGTGTGTGTTTGTGTGTTTGTTGGTGGTGTATGTATGGTGGCGATCGGGGGTGTGGCTTTGCTTTGACAGGGCGCTGACTGGTCGGCCTGGTGTGAGATTTGCGGTGGGGGGTGCTGTGTGTATGGGGGGGTGCGTAGGCGATGTGCTGGGGCTTCTCCGGGCCTGTGGTGTGAGGTTGTTGGCGTGCCTGGTCCTTGGTGCGCTGGGCCGGCCTTCCTCAGCTGCTGCTCCCTGCTGCTCTGGCCCCCGGCCTGGGGCCGGCTTGCGGCCTCTGTCAGGTGGGTGGGGCGCATGGACAGAGCCTCTGTCGGGCCGTCTGTGTGTGCCTGTTTATGTCTCAGGTTGGGTTTTGGGTGGTCCCCTCTCTTGGATCATTTTGGGCCCCCCATTTAATGTGGGGTCTACTTCCCCCTGTTGCAGTCCCCGCCGGTGGCAGGCCCCCCTGCCGCCGGTGTGTTGGTTGGGGCTGAGTGCTTGGGTTTGTGCCGGCCTGCCCTGGTGGCTGCCTGCTGGGGCCTGGGTGCCCTGGCTCTGTCGGGCCTCTGTTGGGGGGTGGTATGACCTCAGGCCCGGTGTCCATGACCGGATCTGCTCTGGAGTAGTGGGTTGCCGGTGGGGCCTGTGGACTTGTCGCTGCAGCCTCCTGGGGCTTCTGCTTTGTGGCCGCTGGGGGTCGCCTGCTTCTCTCTGGGGGGGTGCGGTTGTCCCTGTTGGGGGACTCCCGGGGCTCTGGGCTTTGGGGCTGCTGTGTGTCTGTGGCTCCGGTCTTCCCTGTGTTACCATCGTGTTCTGTGGGGACGGGTCTGTGGGTCCCCACACTCACTATTGAACATTTTTATGGAGAAACCTTATAGTGACGACATGCTCACACAGGTGTTTAGATTCAGGTGTTTATCAGATACACACTCAGTTGGGTTGTGGTGGCCATCAAATACATCTTGTATTACCATGTACTGTATAAAATACTTTCTAATGATGTTACAAGTATCATTATATATGTTGTTTGTTGTTGCGGTTTCTCAGTTTTGTTTTGTTCTTTCCGCAGGTCTAGAGGCAGACTTCAATGATGTTGATTTGTGTTCTCTTTATCCCTCTCTCTCTCTCCTCTATTCCTATCTCCTTCTTTCTCTTTTAACCCTTCTCACACTTTTATGCTTTGTTTTTTGTTTTTCATCCCCATGTCCATTACATCTGAAACAAACCCAAAGCAAATTCTAATAAAGTTGTATTTATATATCAAGCAGAGCATTAAGGCCAGCCATAATGCTCTGCTTGTGAAAGTTAAAAAAAAAGAAAGAAGGCAGTGTACCAGCTCTTTATAAAACGTAAATCCCCCTTAACAGATTTTTTTTGTTTGTTTGTTTGTTTGTTTGTTTGTTTATCTTTGAGCAAACTTAATTTCTTGGTCATTTGTTTTTGTAACAAGTTACTGCTGCAAACTTTAATAAATTGTAAAATAAGCTAAAATGATGGGAATTTGCTTTAAGATAAAGACTTTTTAAGTGTTTTATTTTTTTTTCTCGTGTGTGTGATTTTGTTTTGTCGTTATTTTTATCCCTTTTGTCAGATACTCCTGTTGGTGACACAAAGAGCATAGCAGAAAGGTAAGGTCTTGCCTTCGTGTGATTTTTAATATTTAAGGCAAAGGTTGTTTTATAATTTTCACACACCGGTAGTCCTTTTTTATATAACAGATCCCGGGAAAAGACCTCAAGTAAAAGAAGCAGAATACTGGATGATGATGATGGCGGCGATGGTGATGATGATGGCGGCGATGATGAAAAAGGTACTCTTCACTTGGTAAACAGTGTTTCTTCAGATGTCGGAGCTCCAACATTTGCCTAACGTTGATTTCTTTACAGAGAACGACGCCACTTGTGCGATGGAGATCGATACAAATGCTGATGCAGATTCAGACCAGGAGGATATTTCTGTTCCTGTGAAGAGAAGGCGAAAAATGGTTTTAATTGATGAGGAGGACGAAGATTAGTTTAAGTCTTTAATGGACTGCAGGCAAGAAGGTCCCTGGTGTTACATGGAGGGAAATCGGCCCTCTGGAGGACTGTAGTCCAGACAGCAGAATTATTATCAGAATACCAAACGACTCAAAAAATGAAAACTGTTATATCTTATGAAACTTGTTGCTTTTCTTATTAACGTTTACAACATGCTCAGTTTGTGTCGGCAGTTCTTTAATGATTCAATTATTTTACGTTTGACTTGAAAGTTGTTCCACAAGTACAAAAATACACAATGTTTCTTAGTCCTGTTCAGTCTTTGATTCTCACTGTCATAATAAAATACATTTTGATCAATAAAACAGTAGTTAATTAGTGGTTACTCTTGGAGTTCTGGTTGTCTCGTAGATGCAGTACACATTTTCATCACTAGAGGGCATGCAGGTTATCAACTTAGTCCTTTGGGTTCAAGGTTTAACTCAAATAAATATGTAACAATTGAGTTTTATTTGGTTCTTTGACAATTTTCTTAAACAGATAATAAAAAGGGAGACTTCTGTTATCGTCTTAGTCTTGCTTTTTGTTGCAGGAAGTAATTACTGGGTGTACAACTGATGTAATGTTTAAAGGCAGCCTGATTCAAGATGGCTACCACAGCCTACTTACCTTAGAGAACACATGATTGTTAATACCTCAGTGAGTTGTACAGATTTTGGCCTAGTTTGGTGTGGTAGTAGCTGAGACTGATCATCAACACTTATTTGGAGTGCTAACAGATTGCACAACTTTCCATATTATCTGTTTGGAGTCTACAGTCTGTTAGCAAATTATTTCATGAACCACTGGACAGATTTTAATGAAACTTCTTGAAAATAACCCTTGGTTGTTTACAACACTGTAACTTTTGGAGCCCTCCAATTTCAGAAGCTGGCACAGCCGGTTAACCTTGAAATGGGTATAATTCAGTTAGTTTTACAGATATTAAACTAAAAAATTAGTGTGTGTAGCTGAGAGTCATACCTAATACATATCCCAAATGATGATATATGATAACTTTGCTTCAAACTTTATGGTTAATCAGAATTTTCTGGCCATGTCTGAGTTGATGTGTTGTCCTCACATCTGGATGACATTATAGGAACTTCCTGTCCCAACATCTGCTCTGCCTCCCGCCCCCCTATCTCCCAGATCCAACAGAAACCTGACAAACGGCGTCATGAGGTGAGCACAGTGATGGGTGAGTGTAGATCATGAATTAACGAGGCACTTCATCTGTACTGGCAAGTTTCTAAGAGTTCTCCGTGAACTTCAGCTAAACCGTCGTGTGATCGTTGGATAATAAACCGAGGTGACTCATTATTCTGTGAACAGCACGCCTGAAGGTTGTTGCCTACATCTGAGAGACGGATGGCTTCATGAAGGCCGGCGTTCAGGGAAATAAAAATCTTATTTTAATACCACTTATGCAAAGTTTTTAAAGTTATTTACGCATTCTGGATTTAGAATGAGGCAAAGGCTAATACTCATATACTCATAGGCATATACTCACTAATACTCAGATTAAAACTTTATATTTTTGGAGCAGTTCATGATTTTTCAGGCTTAAAATGTGAGTTTCAACGGCCAATTAGAAGATATAACCCCAAAAAAGAAAGCACAAAAGCTGTCATGGAAAATGTCTCAACCAGCAGAGTTTGTAACATGAAACTGGTTGTAAACACCCCTGAAGTGATTCTGCTTTACAGTAAAATGCCTGAACCTGTTTGTTCAGCTGAGATAAGTGGAGAACACTAAATTGTTTATCATAAAAAAGAAATGCACAAGTTGTTTTCCCTGGAAACTCACAGATTCAAACAGTATTTCATGTTGCAACACACCCTTCAGACAGGTAGTTCTGTCTTTTGTGTGATACTTAAAGACATTTATTGTGACCATACGCATGACTCAAAAGCCTCTTTGTTAGTTACTTTCACTCTAAGCAAACTATAGTTATGTTCAGCGGAAAAGATGGCCAAAACGTTCAGGATTATGGCTACGAAGTTACAGATCAAACACTTTACAAAAATAAATGGAACAACACAAATGTACATAACGAAGATCACATGAAGGTTTTAATTGCTGGAGACGAGGCACTTGATAAAGTTGTTTGTGCGCTCATTAAACACAGACAACCGCCTCCTCTGGCAGATTCTGTGGAGGAAAAGCTACAAACAACAGCTGCAGCTCATTCATGAAGACGATCCTCAGGGTCCTGTGTCGACAGTTTTAAAAAATTTTGTACCCAGAAAATTCTCTGGATAAGAAAAAAGGAAACTAACCGATTAGAATATAATTAGGTCTGCCAGCTTTAAAAAGGCAAATGTAGATTACTGTCCTAACATGTGGAGCTCATTAGGCTAAAAATGGAGGAGTTTTGTATTAATGAGGATCTTAATTCGTGTATGTCCCGGTCGTTAGATTGTTCTCGAGGACATTTTGTGGCATTCGTTTTATCCTAGATCTTCACACGCCTTCTGGCTGTTGAAGCACACAACCATGGAGTCCTCAACATGCCACATGGCTAATTTTAATCAAGGTTTATTAAATAGTGTCTTTGTCTTTGTAACTCAACTTTGACTGACGAAAAACCTGGGCAAAAGTTGCTGTTTGCTCAGTCTCCCCCATCTCACCTGCTGAACTTCTTCAGTGTTCACAGGTGTCTTTCTCACTATTCTCCTTTTTGCGCAGTCACTCGGTTTGTGAGGACGGCCTGCTCTTGGTAGATTGACACATGTCCCACACTCCTGATTTTAACAAAGAGCGATGACAACAGTGGACAACAAAGACAACAACAGATAATCATAAAATACAAATTGAGAATAACAAGTGAAAGTAAAATGGTATTTAACAGAAAATGTAACTAAAAGAACAGCTAGGTTGTAAGGCGATGTAGAAAACTAAAAGAACATGTCTGCATTGGTTTTTCCCAGGATCTTAACAGATGTTTAAAGCCACTTAGAGGTCATGGTCGAGAGCTTCAGATCTTTCTGCAAGATATTCCAAGAAACAGGAGCGGAGTAGGAGAAGGCCCTTTTGTCTAGTCAGTCCTCACAGAGGGAACACTGCAGGTAATAATGTCCTGAGAGCGCACGCTGTAGCTGCACTCACACAGAGACATGTAGGAGGAGATGTATGAAGGCAGCAGACCAAGAAGTGATTTAAAGATGAAAATGTACCAGTGAGAGAGTCTGCATAAAGTTAATGATGTCCAGTTAACCAGTGAATACAAGGTGCAATGGTGGGTATGATGGTAGCATAACTCTGTAGAATTACTTTTTTTTCTCTTTGTCAATTTTTTCAATATTTTTTTTGTCAACAATGCCCATTTGTCCATTTGTAACTGAGTCCTAGACTTCTTTACAAAAACAGACCACAGTCTGAGGATCCACAACTTCTCCTTCTCCACCATAACCCTCAGCACTGGCTCCCCTCAGGGATGTGTGCTGAGCCCTCTCCTGTTCACTCTGCTGCTCACGTATGACTGTGCACCTAGCCACCTACCCAGGCTATCATATTGTAAAGTTTGCAGATGATACAGCGGTGGTGGGATGCATCACAAACAACAATGAGTCCAGCAAGGCAGGAGGTGGAACACCTGGAGAGCTGGTGCAGGAAGAACAACCTTCACATCAATGTGAAGAAGACGAAGGAGATGGTCGTGGACTTCAGACGGAACACCCCC